CTAAAGATGTCATCGTATGTAAAGCAAAAAACACATTACCTCATCAACATTAAGATATCGCCATTTGTCAAAATGATTACTTTTAGGTTTTCTCAAGCTACATTTGACTGCACCAGTTAATGTCTGAATATAGAACATATATTTCTAAAGTAATATATTAAACCTATGGAGCCCTACTGGAATATTTCATTATTTGCAAAGCAATGCTTAAAAGTCTATAATAATTCTTAATTTAACAGTAAAACGATCATCTTAAAGTCGAGGTAATTTGGTGAATTTTGACTTTTTTTTTTTTTCTCATCTTCTTGATTTGTTTCATCATTTAAAATCTCTTAAAACTTTAAAAACAGCACAAGTTTGCCGTTCCAGTAGCAACAGCAGCCAGAATTAAGAGCTGGTGTTAATAGATCTGACTGCAGGTTCAGGATGTGTAAAGATTCCCCACAGTTGGAGGTCATTCTTCCTAATCATTAACTGAAGCTGAAACAAACTACATGTTATTTAATCAGTTAAACGTTGACCATTGAAATGACTATAACAACTAAAACAAAGCTTACTTTACTTTGCTCAGATTGAAGATGAGCATTGATAAAACAGTTTTAATACTGCTGATGTCCTGATTTTCCATGATTAAAAATATTAAATGTTAACATTTGAATATAGAATCGTAGGAATTTCTATGAAAGACTGAGGACAATTTGATTATTCCCCCAATTTACATATTTGCATTGCTTCTTATTCAAACAGGAATTTAAGTTATATTTCATGTCATATTAAGCTAAACCCTTTGCTTATAGACTGCAGGTTTACTGGCAGTTCCTAGAGTTTCTAAAAGTAGAATGGGAAGCAGATCTGCAGGGAAACAATCCCCCAGTGATTTGTCCCTGAGATAGACACCCTGTCTACTTTTAAACTTGACTTATCCCCATTTGGTATAACTTTAAGTATGGTTTAAATGTGTGCTCTTTTGTACAATTTATGCTATTCTGTAACTTTAATGTCAAATCAGAGCTTGTAAAAATCAGAAAGGAATCAGATCTACATCAGGTTAGCAGGATATAAGCAACACCCCTCCTTAGGCCTCACTCTTCATCATGATTCGTAACAATAAGGGTGGAACTTCATTCCAGACATTCCAAGAAAAGTACGACATTTAGATACTTTTTCTCCTCGCTTTAAAAATGTCAGCTTACATTTCACATTATCTTACGGGATCATGTCAGCGGAGAGCAATTCGACATCCCCGACAATGGCCTCACTGTCAAGTAAAAACCATCCGTCTGTTCCTCAGTTACACACAGATGCAGACCTGAATGAATCCTTTCTGTATGTCTGAAACATGTCTTGCCAGATTATATGACAGCACCAGCATGTTCCACTTTAATTAAGACCCCCACACCAGTAAAAACACAAATCTACACTCATGTTTCACCACACCTGCTACCACTGACTATTCTGGTGTTTTGGACACATGTTATTTCTGCAGAGGTCTATAAATAGTCTTCTGACTTCTTATTCAAAGTAAATTATATCTGACTGTTCAAGGGAAAGAAAAGGAGGGACATTTTTTTCCCTGACAAATCCCATAATGCCTTTCCCATTAAAAGTTATGACAAGATGAAGCGTTTCGTGTGAAACAAGAAATTGGTTCAATTTTTACAGAATAGGAATAAAAAACATGTACGCTACTGATAAAGGGATTTGGCTTCTACTTAGCGTTATCCTTCGTCAGCCAAGACAAGAGTGCTTAATTCGTAGTTCTTGTTGTGATAGCATTTCTCAAAATGGGTGAAATTGGAAAACTGTCATCCAGGAAAAAAAATAGTATTTTATCAAACTTGATGGCTTTAAAACAAACATGTTAAAAACATTTTTTTTTTCTGCAAGAGAAAAAAGTTCAAACACTGTTGATGAAACAACGCTGCCCTCTGCTGGAAAAGGAGAAAATTATCATTTCAATTATCCTAAAGTTTTTTTTTTTTTCATGAGGGACATTTCATTAAAAAATATATATTTTTTAATTGCAGTTTTAGCATGTCTATAGTCCATTATGTTCAGCTGGTCTTTGCTAATATAACGGCTCCATCTTGCTCAAACTGTATCTTGTTTTTTTTTTCTATTGCACTCTATTTTCAGCTCACTCAATCCACTTTCTATTGGATTTAGGTCTGGGGACAGAGAAAGTCACTGAAGGAGGTTGATCTTGGTGCTCAGTAAATCAAATATTCGTTGACAGGGTCATATATTTTGATCATGAAGAAACTAAAGGAGCCATTGAAAATCTATTTTTAGTTTACTGGGGAAGACTTTCATCGCAAATGTCTTGGTATTTCATGCCCTGTAAGAAGATTCCTGTGTTTTTTGATAGAGAAACAGGCCCACAGCTTCACAGGCTAAACATAGGGTATGATCAGCTTTCCAGATATGTAGGTAGATAAGACCTTTCCTTAAATTAACAAAAAAAAAAACAATTTGCATGTTAAAAACTCCCGATTGTTGCCCCGAGTGCAGCAGTAAGTTGCAGCCTTTTTTACTTTTCCATTTTAGGAGTGGCTAAGGGAATATTTTATTGAAACTAAATAAATCTGAGATTTGTCTGTCAACAAAGAAAATAAAGAAGAAAGAATAGAAAGTTAGTTCAAATTATTGACATAAAAAGGTTGGGTTTTTGTAATGTTTTTCAGTTATTCAATTTTTTTGTTTTTAAACATCACCTTACCAGGGGTTCCCATGTAACGTGATTGCCAGCCCAAGGTGTATAAAACAAAGGTTGGAAAAAAAAAAAAAACCAAGTTCCCAAATCATATCCTGGAGTGTCAAGTCACATCTCACAGGCATGTAGAAGTAACAAAATAATCTACAGGCATCCCCAAACTCAGTCCTCAAGGCCCCCTGTCCTGCAGGTTTTAGAGGTTTCCTTGCTCCAGCACAGCTGATTTTAATTGAAAGCTGATTAACAGGCTTTTGGTCTACTGCAATCATTATAACCAGCTGTGCTGAAGCAGAGAAACCTCTAAAACCTGCAGGACAGTGGGCCTTGAGGACCGAGTTTGGGGATGCCTGTACTAGGTCAAGTATTTGTGTCAGTTTGATAAAGTTCTTAATCAAGTATTGGTGATGACAGTTTTATTAGATTGAGTCAATCTCTGGGTATTATAATACCAAATCACTCAGCTTTATTGTAGTCTAGTTCACCCTTTCGGGGCCCACATGGTCAATGTCACCTAAGGTCAGTCAGATATGTGATTATAATAAGCCAGGGAAGGTCCATGGAAAAGGAAATGAAATGACAAAAAGCGTCTTTCTGCAGTTTTTAAAGAGGCCGGTCCAAGTTTGTATGAGACCAGAAGCAGAATATCATTAGTCTACTTTCATGCAAACTATGCACCATTATAAAGATTTTGACAAATGGGGAAGGAGGGAAGAAGGTTGATGTTTTCATCATAAGAAACTAGAAGCAAAATATTTTTTTGGCACCCACGCAACATGTGTGTTGTAAAATTAACATCACCCCAAACACATGGCTTTTATCATGTAGCAAGGAGGTTGCAGCATCATGCTGTGGTCCTCTCTAACTTTAGTTAGGACAGAAAAGTTGGAAAAGGTGGATCAAGCTTTATCCTGAGTATTTAGACAAGCTACTGGGGACTTAGTTGTAAGTAAGCAAAGCTGACTTTGAATCTGTTTTCTCTAAAATAATTTACACAATTTCAAAAAAATTTTACTGTTTATTGTCACAAAAACATAGTTACACATTTAAATACAGAGTGCAAAAACTTATTCTTCATGGAATAAAACATTAACATTCTATGGAGAGTGAAAAGTGCCCAATTACAATATTTACATATGGGATTTGTTGTCATAGCAACAAATAATAGTAACAAATTAACAAATATTTTTTGTTACTATTATTATTTGTTGCTATGACAACAAATCCCATGATGCTTTGCGAGGAGAGCTTCCTTGCAAAGCATTCTGGGATATATCTGCTCTTCTAGTGACCATGGATGATCACTACTTAAATTACAAAGATGGTGCAGGCACCAATCAGGGAGGCGGAGTCACGTGACCAACGGGGAGCAAAAAGTATCAGTTAACCGAGTCCACTATGTACCGTAGTCCCCGCACTAAATAGCGATTGAGGGCTTAAGGGTTAGGGCGGACGTTCGCACACAGACATGGTGAGGCCTGATGAAGAGGAACTGTTTACGTATTCTAATTTTTAGAGAGAAGTTTTGCACCTTATTGGAGAATTATGACAGAGATCATCCACTGGATTATTTAAATCCAAGAATTAGACAAAATGTATGATGTTCTTGCAGTCATTTCAACCAGTCATGACAAAGTGTTCGAGCAGACAGTATTTACCGTATTTTGATATAACATCTGCTATTCTGAATTATCATGTAAACATCAATAATTTCTCTGCAGTTAATGTCACACAGATCCTACATAACAAACTGAAGCAAATAAGCTTTGTGTATTTATTTCTAAGTTTATTTAACTACAGACATTTAAATAATTAGTCAATGTATATTTTATTGTAATTTGGCACTTCACCCAGCAAAGATCCCATCTTATCTTATTTTGCTTAGTTTTTATTGTGGATTATCTGTTCCAGTGCCATTTGGGAAGTGCTTAAATGCATTGTTAAAATGTGTTGAGTTGCCTTAATAAAATAAGGGAAACATGCATAAACATGAAATAAAATGTCCATTATCTTCGCCACAGTGCTTTTGTGATAGCTTTATTTCTTCATCCTATAAGGCACTGAAACAGTTGCCTGGATTAATAGTTTATTCCAAGGTGAACACCAATGTTCATATAAATGAAAGCCTTAGCTTTAATTTTGTCTAATATTTCCTATAAAAATTAGTAACAACAGTAAAAATGGTGACAACGTTTTATGCCAGCCCCCTTGATGTACTAGATTTAATAGTTGTGAACAAGCTAATAAAAGTTAATCCTAAGAAAATGCTGCGTTGTGTGTTTTGTTGACGATGCTTTGGAAAAAGTGAATTAGGTTTGATGTTCCGCTGCTACACTTCACAGCCTCACGTTTCGTTTTTTTTTGATAGTCTTCCTTTCGGTTTTGTGGGTTTTCTTATATTCATCTGTTGAGGAAAAATAAAGAAGTGCTCGTTACATGATGTGTCTTAAAGAAGAGCTGCAAAAGTTCACATTGCATTCAAGATTTCACAGATTTTCCCTTTATTTTTTTAACCACATTTTGTGATCTTTTAGCCATTTTCAAAATGTATTAACCTTTACTGCTTATTGCTAAACACAAAATCCCCAAGATAAAAAAATTTTTTACAACGGTATTTCAAACAAAAGATTCAAATATGTAATGCTACATTCAGACGGTACAAGACAGAAGCAGCAAAAAAAGCGCTGGCTGCTCATTTTTTATGTTTGTACACATTAAGGTCCGACGTGCCTCAAGAGCATCCTTGATGCTTCTGAAGCGCGTCCAGTAAAGTGTGAACAGATGCTGCAATGGCACAGAGCGGCTTTGCTGTATTTGCTGTCATAAGTGGGTAAAAAAAAGCAAACATATTTGGCTAGTAGGTTTCAGTTAATTTAGGCATTAAAAAACTTTTTTGAAGGAGTGATCATAGCTCTCTGCTTCAGTAGTGCTATGTCTCTCTCCCTACCAGATCAGCTACTCTGATTGGTTGATGCGTCTAGCAGCAAAGGTTCAATTTTTCCAACTCCAGCAGTTGCTGTTTGTGAAATGTGTCATGCTGCTCAGATGCTCAGAAGCTGAATGCGCACTGCTTCAGCTGCTCACACACGTCAAAATGTGCTCCTCCTGCTGCTCGTAACGTGCTGCAGGACCTTTTGTTGTGCCTTGATGCTCATCAACCATTGACTTTGCATGTAAACCAGCTGTTTCTGCTGCTTCAGTAGCGTGTAGGGATGGGGATCGTTAATATTTATTGATATCGATACCTTTATCGATACTCCTTATCGATCCGAGTCTTTATCGATACCACTATCGATACTTTTCTGTTATTTGGTGGAAAGACGATGCAACAAATTTTTTTTAACAGAACTGGTATTGCTTTTATTGCTTAACAAGTGAGCATAACAAAAAGGTTTCTAGCCTTCAATAAACATGGCTAATGTAATAGGCCACTTCGAAATGACATAAAACTAACTAGAATATATTTTCACAATTGTTGGTTAATGTATTGTCTACTGTCAATTTTCATCATGTTTTTAGTGATAAGAAAAATATTTAACAAATAAATAATTGTATTTTAAATTAAATGTAATTTTTAATAAATGTTGGCATCAGTAGTTTAATTATATATTCTAAAATAGTTAGAGCAATATACAACTTTATTACTCATGTTTCTCGCCAAAAACTAAATTTCCCGTTTTCTTTACGTTACACCTGAACGCATCATGATAACCTAATTGTCGTTTTACTGAGCCAATCTGAACACATCATCACGCAGCACGTCTGAAACTGTATTTACTTTTCAAGCTAACTAGCTTGTGTGCTTCCGATTACAAGACGGATTTCACAATTACTATTTTTAACTGACCGGACAAGCTACAAAATCTGTGTGCACGCTTACCAGTGGTACTCTGAGTGGATGATGAAGACGGGCCCGAATGTGGTGCGGCGGCAGGAGGAGGAGTCTTTTCCGATCAGCCATTCTCGCGTCGCGAGCAAAGTTAAGTGCCAGACTTCACTTGTTTTACTTTTAATATCTGTTTTCTTACAATTTCATTCCAAAACATTGGTGGACATGCTGCAGTGATTGGATTGATTAGATTTAAATGCTGTGACGCGACTCGAGGGACACACAATTATGTTACAGGACCTCCGGGAGAAAAAAAAAAAACGACCAGACTCGATAGTGGTATCGATAAGCCCAAACGTTATTGATTTTCGGGTTTTGAAAAAAGTGGAACCGGGTCCTTGATGGAACCGGGTTTCGATCCCCATCCCTAGTAGCGTGCGGTCTGAACGTAGCATAAGAGTTGACAATCCTTCATTTAAAACTTGTGTGACTTGGGTAAAGACTCACTTCTTCTAGTTTCTTTTGAAGAGATTTCTCGCTCCACAGCACTCTCAGAAGTTCATTTAATACCGTTTCCATTTCACTGGATCAATAACGGAAATGGTTAATGGTCACATACAGCTTAATAAGGTAAAACATCCTGAGTTTCCACTAACCCTTTATGCTTGCTCCTTAAAAACTTTACCACGGCTTTATCTTTGATGATATATTTGGCGTGATGCACATCCGTCTGGCTCAGGTTTAACAAGATTTGAAACACTGGCTTTCCCACCTCACTAGAGAAATCTGTGTCAGAACTTTGCAGCGTGCTCAAAATCCCTCGAATCAGTTGACCGACTGCAAAAGTGACACAAAAAGAAATCTCAATAATGTGTCATATTTTTTTAACCTGCAAAATTAAAGTTTATAAAAACGTATTTATTTTATACAGATTTTATGTGACAGATGATTAGAGAGTAGTGCATAATGGTAAAAAGGATGGAAACTTACTTTTTTATTAATTTTATGAATAAATATTTGGGTTACATGTTGGAAAACACGGTGGTGGCAGCATTATGCAGCAGGTATGCATTTCTTAGTGGGAATTTGGATGCATCGAGTCAATTGATGGAGTTAAAAAAGCAATATTGGAAAAAAAGCAGAGGCTCCAGGAGACTAAAGCCTGGACTAAGGTCCAGCAAAACAAAAACTAATATAAATGCAACATGACAGACTCGGAGCTGTTACTGCAGCAGTTGCTATTTCAAAGTATAACCTAAGAAGGGTTAAATACAAGTACATGGTGCACTTTTTAGATTTTTGTTTTTATAAAATCCGTAAACCCCTTATTTATTTCTTCTGTGACATTATGAACTACTTTGTACACGTCTGTCACATAAAATTCCATAAAATACAAAAGACACTGGAGTTGTTAGAGGATACTGTTAGAGTTTAAAGTTACAGATTTCAGGGTGAAGTTTCGGAAAGCAGGAAAGGTTTTTCGTCAGATATATGGCTGGTTTCTTTAACTTGTTGTCGCCATCATCTAAAACCATCTTAATTTTCTGGAGTCCATTTTCAGCCTCAACTAAAGTGCAGGCAGTATGTTCGGAGATCTGTCAGAGGCACAGAAAGAAAGGATTTATTAAGTTTATCATGTCAGAAAACCCACAGCTTAAGGCGGCGAAACAGTTCCTGTTGTTAAAAAGCACCAAAATATTCCAGTAATGTTTGCTAACAACATTTTTTTCATTTAAAGATTTTTTGAGTAGCTGTGTTATTTAAAGGATTTGGTTAAATTTTTTCATACCTAATGTCTCGTAAGATTTACAGATTCAGAGGCCGACATTGTCCTTTCTTACCTCTCCCTTTCCAGCTGTGAGATTCTGCAGTGCCCCGATGGCAGCCTGCTGTGTCAAGCTCCGCTTGCTGCAGGCCAACAGAGACAGATACACCCGCACAGCAGACTTACTATATAGCCACTCGGCTCCTTTCATCTCTTTCAGCTCCCACTGTTCTAAGCTCACTGCATGTGGAGAGTCCTTCGCCTCCTGAGAAGAAATTATTCAAAGCTGCAGAGTTTAGGCTGGTTGTGGTTTTCAGTGTCCCATAGAAACAAAACAAAAAGCTCAAAAATGGTTGTGGCTTTTTATTTTTTAATTATTTAATAAGGAAAGAAAGACTGGCTCATTCTGGTACAACTATAACTTCCAGCCAATACTCTTTAGAGTTTACCTAAAATAACTGAACAATGGATAAATAATGGGCATTTGACGATAAATTGTGCATCTCCCCGTTTTGGCTTTGGAAAACCTCTACACACTCTGCAGGGTTCTCCAGGGTGTTTGGAAGTTTGCCCAACCGGTGCACATGTGTTTTGTGGACCTGGAGAAGACATTCGACCATGTCCCTCATGGTGCCCTGTTGGGGACCCTTTACTAGGGGCCATCTGGTCTCTGTACAAGTGCATATATATGCATATACAGGGGTTGGACAATGAAACTGAAACACCTGGTTTTAGACCCCAATAATTTATTAGTATGGTGTAGGGCCTCTTTTTGCAGCCAATACAGCATCAATTCGTCTTGGGAATGACATATACAAGTCCTGCACAGTGGTCAGAGGGATTTTAAGCCATTCTTCTTGCAGGATAGTGGCCAGATCACGACGTGATGCTGGTGGAGGAAAAGGTTTACTGACTCGCTCCTCAAAGACACCCTAAAGTGGCTCAATAATATTTAGATGTTCAACTTCACTTCTATGTTCTTCAAACCAATCTTTCACCAGTCTTGGTGTGTGTATTGGTGCATTGTCATCCTGATACACAGCACCTCCTTCAGGATACAATGTTTGAACCGTTGGATGCACATGGTCCTTCAGAATGGTTCGGTAGTCCTTGGCAGTGATGCGCCCATCTAGCACAAGTATGGGGCCAAGGGAATGCCCTGATAGGGCAACCCAAACCATTACTGATCCACCACCATGCTTCACTCTGGGCAGGCAACAGTCTGGGTGGCACGCTTCTGTGGGGCTTCTCCACTCCGTAACTCTCCCGGATGTGAGGAAAGGTGGACTCATCAGAGAACAATACATGTTTCACATTGTCCACAGCCCAAAATTTGCGCTCCTTGCACCACTGAAACCGATGTTTGGCATAGGCATGAGTGACCGAAGGTTTGGCTATAGCAGCCCGGCCGTGTATATTGACCCTATGCACCAACATGGTTTGCATGTATATACAGAATATATATGCAAAGACTCACAGACTTCCCTCTCCACAGACCTAGAATGAAGATGAATTAGAAAACATTTCTTGCATATTCCTCGAACCTCACCATTTGTCAATTCACTATTTCTAATGTCAAATGTTACAGGAAAATAGAGTAAAATTATCTGTAGTGTTTAATTTTTTTTCTAGAAAATTTTTATAAATTTACATTCAACCCCTTGACTGGGTCAATATGTATCATTCAATTATTTCAACCAATGTCCACCTTTAGGTTTGCTTCTATTTGCTAAATAAGTGTCCCCTATTAAGCACCATGAGTTTATTACCAACTATTAGATGTCATTTAGGAACTTCATAGCAAAGGGCCAATAGAAATGCAAGACAAACTTTTCCCAATTGTCATTAAAGGAAACATTTGGGTACTAAGTTTCTTTTTCTTTTGTTTTAAAGTTTAGCAACACGTTATGTCGGCCTATTTGGAAAAATCCAAATAAAGTACACTGATGTTTGCTCTTTGAACAACCATCTTGAGCTGATGAAGTCTGTGATCAAAGATGTTCACAAAAGTAGTAGTTACAATTTTCTTGTTATTTTCAGCAACGGTAAATATAGGGAAGATTATGTACCAAAAAGCTCAAAAATGGACAACTAATGAATACCCAATCTGAAATATTTGGCTGCATTGGAAACCTTTGGTTGACCAAAGGGATCATAGTCCAAAGAGTTTACCTTTGGAATCTTGGTGCTGATCTTGGAAAAACATCCAAAGGTTGAATTTTTGTGAACCTCTTTGCGATCGTTGATGCTTTGGAAATCAAAGTCACACTCAGCTTGATAAGTCAGGTTTTGCAGGATGCAGACACAGTTTTCTGTGGACTTTAAAAAGAAAGAAACATGTATGAATTAGTAAACACACCCCAACAAGCCTGTTAAACATGTGCATACCGAATGAACCCAAACCTTTACAATGTCAACGTGTATTGTGGAGAGGATTACACCTAAAGAAGTTTGCAGAACTATTCATCCCTTTTAAAACCTTTGACGAATAAAGTTGTATGTAATGGATCAAATCCATCGAAAACAGACCTTTCACTGCATTTACAATCTCATGAAGCATGCAGCAGAAAAACAGGTTTTCTTACAGGATTTTCCAGTTTTTAACCTAATCCAGTCTCCTAAACAACTCTCACCAGCTTCCTTTCTGTAGTGAGAATGGTTCCCACAGCCTGAGGCTGCCATGGTGCATTTATTATAGAGGACTTTTATCTTTAAAAACATTTAAAGCTACATTCTAGGGTCCTTTCTCTTCACAAATTAAGCTCTACTTACTGAAGATCTAAAATCCCCCACAAAAATGCACTAACATTTAGAAAGACCTCCGAACGTATGAATATTCATGCAAAGCACTTATGTGACCAAAAGCAGAAATACCCGCTAGTGCAGTGGATGTTGGCAGACAACAGACATTTTTCTACTTACATCGTCATCAGGTTTACGGCTGGCTATGGTCCCTTGAATATAGTAAACCAGCGAGTCTATGAGATTTTTGCACTTCCTCATAGCTCTCCTGACGTTTGGGCCGGCAGAGCTTAGATTTCTTCAAGAAAAAAAACATACAAATCATTATGATGAACCATGCATGTGTTTTTCAATGAAATGACTTCTCAGCATGTAGATCCATGTATGCTAATGAGAACCTGTAGGTCAATACGCTATTTTGACGAGTCATGGTGCCATTTTTTAAACTTAAAACAAGTTGATAACGTTTTTCTTCATTGACTGAAAGCTAGAAAGATTTAAAAACACAAGGAGACGATGAATACATGTGCTCTATGAGGAGAGAATAATTTCAGTTCAACCGAGAGGGAACGTGAGAGTCTCCTGAAAAAATCAGGCGGTTACAGTTTTCCTCGGGCTGTAGTTCTTGACAAGATGTGCCCGGCAGCACCGTCTTCGCTAACACACCCATGGGTGGCATCTGCATGAGTCAGAATGAATTCAAGGAAGAAACTTCTATTGAAAATGATATCGTCCAGAAAAAATTTCTATAGAACTCAGATCAGAATTTCCTGTTAACAGAAAGGAAGATGTAAGAACAGAAGGGCACAAGGGAGCAATTAAGGAAGGACACAAGGATGAAAACAAGGAAGATAAATGAAAAGAAAAAAATTATCTTATCCCGAACTAGACACCCCTTTCCAGATTCTGACTGCACAGCGACCCTGTGTAAAGTAGCTATGTTTGACAATGAATGGGTTAACTAAAGACAACCCAGCATCCTCTCCAGCAGTTTAAATAGAACTGGTTCAATTCCCCACCGTAGACAGCCTGTAGCGCAGTGGAAAGCCTTGGGGTCAGCGATCATTTCATCTTTGGGGTTTTCAGCTGCATTCATCCCAGAGCTGGGCACCAAGACCGACTTTGTGATGATATTTAGCCCCTTTTCATCGAATTGTTCCTTTATTGTATCGTCTGAAGACAGATTCCACAAGAGACCTGAAAGCGAGAGGCATAAAAAATAAGACTAGTCATTTGGCTTAAACAAGATGGATGTAATTAGAGAGGGGGCACCCAGGGTTTACAGACCAAACTGGGGGGGATTTCATAGTTTTGCTTAATTTAACAAGTAACGTTAATAAAAAATAAAAAGCATTGGGCTAGCCAAGAAGAAGCTAGGGGGAAATTTCCAGGGCAAAATCTGATAATCTTATTCTCAGCCTGATGCATTAATATTTATTAATAATATGAATTAGGGCTGCAACTAACGATTATTTTGCAAGTAGATTAATCTTTTGATTAGTTTTTTGATTAATCAATTAATAATCCGATAGTCAAAAGATCCTTAAAGAAAGCTTTTTACAAAATTAAAACAGGTGAAACTAAAACTTTCCACTTGAGGAGTTCTGGATAGAGCATATTGACAGACAGACAGAAGAGAATTTTTTATCTTAAATGCAAAATGTTTATATATTGCTGCTCAAAGTGGGTTGCTTTGTCAGCTAAAGACATGTTTTAGAATTAATCGATTACCAGATTAGTTGACAATTATTTTAATAATCCATTAATGCATCTGATTAATTATTTCAGCCTTAATATTAATAAAAAAATATTTAGAATTTCTGTATTTTTTTCAGATAAAATCCAGTATATGAAGTGTTTTTAGAGCTTCAGGCTCCAGAACCACAGACTGACCTAAGAGTTATGCTGCTGTTACAAAGCCACCAGTCTCAATTTCCCACTGGGATTATTAAAGTATGTCTAATTCTGAGTCTGATTCTGATGAGTTAGTTCCTTTTTCTCTGTTAGAGCCTTGCTGCTTGATCTCAGACTAGTGGAAAGCCAGACAGTCATCTTGCCAATAACCACCTTCAGTTCAATTTGGGGTATCTAGAGGTACTACCAGGTTAGAGGGGGTATAGATAAGTTTCAGGAGCATGACATCTTCGTTACCACCACCATATTGACTACCAAACACTTAGCATAGCTCTGCGGTGCTTTCTCTCTGACCAAAATTGATCATTCTCATTTAAATACCCCTGAACTTCAACGACACACAGAGAAATTTGGTGTTATTAAATGTGATCCTTACAAAGTTCCTGAAAACTTTTTTCCAATACCTTTCTTCATTTGACAGGCTTCAAGATTTTTCCTTTCACACCTTATACATACATCTTATACACAACCTTGTCCTCATACACCTGAAAAAGTCTAAAAGCTTTAAGAAGCACAGATGCCTATCACTATTTCACAGCTGGCTGGATCATTGATCCGAAAAAAAAAAAAAAAACGAGAAGATATTCATGTGTAAAGTGAAGGTAAGCCGTGTTCTGCTGATCTTTATGCTTACTTTATGTAAGCAGCTTAATATCAAATTCTTTCACAAAGTTTTCTATCAGTGTAATCTAATCACTTCATTATCTGGCGGACAAAAACAGAACAGGACATTAAATCCAGTTGGCAGCAGCCTGAGCTAGCTCTCCTGACCCGTTTTGAACCCTCCCGATACGTAATGTACACTGCACACACTAGATACATGCAGTCGCTCACCAGTTAGCCCTTCTGATCGCTGACACCCATCCCTGACAACATTCCTTATCTTTTGGCAAGCAATAATAACAGATATTTGGGTCACCTTTGTATTGTCATACCCAACGGCACAATATACGGACTATAAACCGCTCACAGAATGGCAACCAGAACTGAGTTCCCTATCAATGAAGATCAATTCAGCCACTGGTTTTACTAACTAAAACTTTATCTTCCTATTGGTTGCAAAAATTTGCTAAATACTTTTTGCAACTAACACATCTTAAAAACTAACTGGGTCTCATTTTTAGTTAAAATCTAAAAATACGCACCACTGCTTCTATTTAGTGATGCTCTCAAAGCCAAAAAGGTCAGTGTAGGTGATGATGTAGGTTTCTCTGTACTGATTATTAAGGTGGTATAACATATTTAAAAGCCTGACCTGAAAGCTGGTGTATGGTCTCCTTATCGCGCGTGTTTTCCAGCGCGTCTAGGATGAGAACCAGGCCACCACAGGCCTTCACCTCAGTCTTGTTATCATTGTGGGCGTATACGGCATTTCGCAGAGCCCCTGCTGCGTTGCGTTGCACCTCTTCGCTGTCGTTTTGGAGCATTTTCAAAAGCTTTAATACTCCACGTACATTGTAAACCTGAAACCAAGGAACCAGCATATGTAGATGCTAACATAAATTCTCCCCACAAAAATGAAAAGTTGATGGCTCACAGATTCGGATGAAGCTGTACAGCCAGGTGATAACAGAAATGAGGTCATATTTGTGGGTATACATACCCAATCTCTATTATCATCATCCAAACATCGGGACTGTATGCATCTGGTGGCAGAGACCAGGGTTTCCTCATCAGTCAGGTCTAGAAGTGAGAAGGCCTTAAAAATCGTCATCTCTGGACGCTTTTTAACAGTCTTCCTAAGTGAGAGGTAAAAAAATGTTTTTTTAACCGGCTGACTACAAATAAGGTAAAATTTTCACAGTTGGTACTGATCTTACTGATTAAAGAGCCACTGCTGACCGTCCACCTCAGTCTCCTCCCGCCTTCTTTTATCCAAGCTCTCAGCCTCAATGGAGGGCAGGGATGTTTGATGTCTCTGGGAAGCACGAGTCTGCCAGCTCAAGCCTCTCTCCGGCAGGGTGGTTCCAGCCATGTTATATAAACCTTGCTGTACGGTTCGTTTATCTTGTTTTACAACTGTTTGCCTGTGACTCCAGGTATTACTAGGGCTTTGCTTGAATGCCATGGATCCCGACGGATACCTTCCTCCTAATGACCGCCTCAGTGATTTGCTCCTATACATTCCAGGTTGAGACGTGGCTGCACGGATGGCCGTACCTTGAAGAATCCCTGAGAAAGTGTGCAGCTGAGCTGCATTAGAGCCAGCAACACAGTCCTTAAGAGCTACCACCGACTGAAAATGGTTGTGCCTGGAGGGTGAAGAGGTGCCGTGAACAGAAATGCTGCGGATAAAGCGGCGGTGGGAGAGCCTTGTGTTTGGTGTTGTGTGCGAGGCCATCCTCCTGGGCCCCTGAAAATGGTTTCCTTTTAACGAAAGGCTGCTGAAATCAGCCATGTTTACCTTTAAAACAAAAATAGTAAAACATAGAAAAAACAAAGTCATGTTCTGGATGAAGACACCGACATTATTAATCATAGAAGTCAATAGGAGGCTGCATGGTAACTTTCTCTCTATTCGTTTCTCATTTTTTAATATCCTATTTCTACCCATGGTTCCTTGTGTTGTCATTTTTATTTTTTTTTTACTTTTATTCCCCCAACATCTTATTCTTACTTTTTTATTAGGTTCTTAATTGTCTTTACATTGTTAGGTAGTTTTGGAGGTTCTCTGTGTGATTGCATTATATGAGGCAATTCAAAAAAATTAAAGTTAATGCCATGATTTAAACTATAATCTATAATTGTTTTGTTTTTTTAAATCAAGAATTAAAATGACTGCTAATCTATTCCAGATCTGTCTTTGAGCAAAGACCACTGTAGGAGTTGCACGAGCCTGAGTTAGAGATCAGCTAAAGAAACTACCATTCTTGCTTATTTTTATCGCCATAAAACCAATAAAGGCTTTTCCATCTACTACTGTAAAGTGTGTAAAAATTTATTAGTAAACATTGTGCAAAAGGAAGAATATTTTGAGATATTCTAAAGATGAAGGATGCTTGTGAATTTTTTTTAAATTTGGAATTAATCATCAAATATCAGTCAGACCTGTATAAATATTTTAATATGTATTCTAATGTTTGAATAATCAAAAAGGAGAAGATAAAAGCTACTGAAGTGTAACTTGGCTCTTATGTAGTTTATATGTAGGTTATATTGGTCTATAAAAAAAAATCTTTTAAAATGGATGCAGAAGATGAGAAATCAACATGAACCACCAGTTGCTTTTATTATTGAGTAGCAGGAAGAATTTAAACCTACTTTTACCAATCAGATAATTATGGATGTGAAACAAAAAGCTATTTTTATAGGTAAATGCTCTAACAGCAGCTAGTTTTGACATTTTAAAGATATATCCAGCTAATTTAGGCCATAATAAAGAGCTCTATTAAAACATCATTCTGTCGAGGCTGCTTGATTGTTTTGGTTACAGAAAAGCTTTATTATGCATCATTTTGGTGCAAACATTAACTTCCACCTCAGCGGGATTAGTCTGGTTGGTTTTAGACCAAAGAGTCTGAGGCTGACCAGGTCAGAAATAAAAAATGTGGCAATTCAATGTTCTCAAACTGCATTTGCACAGAAAAATTGTTCCTATAAATTAGCAAAGTTTCTGTAAAGAAAATCAAATATTGTTTGTACATCTTTAAGATAAAGCAAAAGGGTCATAAGAGAGTTGTGATTGAATTTATAGGCTTGCAGAAAGTCGAAATATAAAGACAGGAGCATCACAGACCTTCAGATTTGTTTAAAGTCAAATACAGGAGTATAATATGCAAAGTGCTACCTTGGATTCATATAGCTCACTGAAATGATGAACAAGCAAACCTCTACCTTAGATATACTTCTAGGTGTAGTAAAAAAAGGACAATAAATATTTTAGTGATTTTGCATTAAAATGACGAAGTCATACAGAACAATGACTTGAATAGGTGTTCAGGGGTTAATAAAAGGTGTGGAATTGTGCTTTACCTTTGTGTGGGAAAACATTTTATCTACATCATCCAAGCTCCTGGAGGTCATTCCCTGTAACTTGAATTCCCCTGAAAGATATCCAAAAAGAGTCCTAGTTAAAACAATAAAGGTCAAACCTGGTTTTAACCTAAATGGATGGGCTCTCTTTCCAGCATGAGTGAATCACATTTCACCTAAAACATATTTCAATTACTAACCAAGAGTCAAATTAATCTACAAAAGACAAAAAGAAACATAGGTGACAAAATATAGCATGTTCTCATACATATACTCATTATGGGCACAAATCCCATCATCTTTGGGCCTTCAAAGCCCCAGCTAAACTGTATTTTTTCAAATATACATTTAATTTATTTATCAATGTTGCCATTATGGGCTTTGAATAGGAGACTCACAGTGGGAAACAGTCACTAATCAGAGTTAGAAGATTAAAATAGACTGAGAGGAGGCAAAACAAGAAATATCAAATTTAAACTAACATTTGTTTACATATAGACAAAGTTTAACACCCAAAGACAAATGGAGCAAAGTGTCCTCAGCGGCAAGAGATGTGTTAGGAGGTGTAAAGTATGGCTTTTATAGTAAACAGCAATCAAGCATGGTGGTGGTAGCATCATGATTAGCTAAAATTAACAGCTGGATGATAGAAATACCTACATCGTTTAGGAATTTATAAAACAAAAATATTTATGTAAAATTTATGTAAAATTGTTTATTCAATTAGTGTTATACCTGGATCTAGTTAGAGGTTAGAAGTCTTTTTTGTTTGTTTTTGCAATAATTGTGTTGAATGAAATGTGTTCAAATGAGTGACAGTTGAGTTTGTAAAAATAAAAAAAAAATGTATAATAGTTTGAGAATATGGTAACATGTGAAATGCTTCAAAAACTAATTCGAGACAATAAAATACATCATATTCATGTCCATAATGGATAGATGTTAGATGTCTCTTATTTATTATAGACCTACACAAAAAAAGTTGTCTTAAAGTCTGAAATTAAACCAAAATGATTTTCAAACCAGAACATAAATAATACAAATACTGAAAAGTAAATCGATTATTTATCAAATAATTGTTTTACTCAATAGAAATGCAAGATAGGAATCTGAAAATTACCCTGGAATATCAATAATATCGAAAGGCTTGTTTCAATGGGTGTAACCGTGGGAATTTCGATGCATGTTTATGACACTAAACTTGCTTTCTTTTTTTAATGCCATTCGTGACTTGGCTGTCAGTGTATGACAATGTAATAAAGTATGAGGTCTAACATACCTGATGCTCAATTGACTCATGTCCTCTAACTTCTTATTAATTTCACTTTAACATGGAAACATCATTCATGTATAAATTGCTCATCTTACTTCCAAACCACTTTTACATTTAAAGTTAATGGCAGGAAAAATGTCCTGAATAGTGAAGGTATGCGTTCCAGTTTAAAGGAACTCCAACTTTCAAACATAGTGTCATCAGCACTACACAAAGCGTTTGAAATAATAAACTACCTCCAGATTTCTCAATTCCACCTTAAATGAGGCAAGATGGTAGAAGCTTGGACACAGATGCGTGTTGGGACAGAACAATCATCCTAAAAATGCCTCAAAAATTGGTTCTGGAGGGAAAAAAGAAGGAGAAAAATGCCTCTGGCATTGCTGTGGCCTAATGGACTTATTATATAAGACCTGTTTTTGTCGGAAAAACTACCAAATTAATTTCTTCCAAAAAAATTAGTTAAATATCCAAACAGATTTATATTAGAAGCTTATGATGGTGATAAAATGTGCTTTATCTCTCACAGAAACATTAGTATCTACAGTGGTTGTGAAAATACTAAACACCTAAAGTGTTCTTTTTTTTTTTTTTTTTTTTTTACATTTTCCGTCACACTTGAATAGTTTAAAATCAAGCACAGCGGTATTATCAAAACAAATCAGATCAAAACATTGCAATGAGAATTCAGACTCTGACTCGGCACTAGTGAAAGTCTTTTTTTGAGGAATTCAGGCATTAATAGCAGGCGATCTTGAGCTGCTACTGATGCCTGGGTTCAGATTATAACTGGGCATTTTCCTGTAGGATATTTTGCTATAGAGCAGAATAAAATGATGGTTATATCCAGAAGTCCTCCAGGTAACAGCAAAACTGCCCCAAACCATATTCCTACCAACACCATATGTTTCTAAGGTGTTCTTTTTGAATAGTGCTTTACATCCACACACCTTTAAATCCAATTGTATCCCCTCAAACTGATTATTTTTTACTTAAAAGCCTTTTTGTGGCAGATCATGCCTTTATGATCCATTAGGTCAGAGGTCGTTTAGGTCTTTGAACCCTCCCCATCATGCCACTTTTCTTAGTTTATATTATGATTATTTTGTATAGCAGTTATCATTTAGTAAATTTAACAATTTAAAACTGCATTTTGTGTGTTAACTCAAAGTTATTTTATTAATGACTTAATAAAAAAAAAAAAACATAACACTTAAACTAAATCAGAATTAAAAGTCTTATGAAAAATAAACGTGATAATCCTGCTGATTACAGTATAATTGGGTATAACTTCCAGAATCAAATTGTTCTCACATCAAAGGGAATACATATCTAGCAGAAAATATGACATATTCTATCTGTAGATATGAATCTGAAAATTATCTTAGAGGGATAATCAGATGTAAATTTAATGGATATCAGGGTGGAAACTTTGTGACATGCTTCTCACACTAAACTTGCTTCAGACTCAATGTGAAAGCAAAATATAAGCACATCAGAATACTGTTCTTTCACATTAGATCAGGCGTAAATAGATATAAGCCACACCTCAGAGCAAATAACCAGATGATGCATTTGGAACCAAGAGTGTGAAATGCTGTACACTAGTTTTATCAGCCCTCAGGCAGATCGACGAAACTGCAGGAACCTGTTGGACAAGGGGCCCACTGTTCAGCGACAGAAAAATACCTGTATTTACTCTAAAAGGCCTTCATTAGGATCAATGAATGGGTCTGCTGCCAAACTCAATTAGAAAGGAGCCCACATAATAACTCTAATTAGTTAAATTAGTTTAAAAATTAATTACTGCACCCTAAATATGAATCTTTTGTTTTATTTTTATTTTTTTCTGCAAAAGTAAACGTTTTTCGAATCATAGTTAAAAGGGAAAATATACCAGATATAACTTAGTTGGGTTTTTGTGTGTCTCGTGGGGCGCAGACATCAAAGAAACAAAAGCAGAGGCCTGTTTATTACTTTACAGTTAGTTTGGATTAATATTTATATACATAGAGAGAATATAACTTGTGAGTATTACCATTCGATGTAGCCTTCTTTGTATTCCGTCGCAGTGAAAGCTGAACCTGCCTCTGGACCCGCAGGTTCTTCCCTGCTGACTCAGTCCTCGCCGAGGAGCTGTTAGTCGGTTCGGTCGGTAGAGCCAGGCTGGTGTCCTTCAGCTGCAGGTAGTCCTGCACAGGCAGCGCAGACTTGAAAAAACTCTCCTCCATGACGGAACAATGAACAATGCCCCGAGAGTTCAGCTTTTAAGGCCTCATGTAGGATAATGAGCCCTTCTCCTTGTTAACAACGAGTCCTGCTCTGATGTGCCGAAAGGGAGGACGCCAGGGTGGGCGGAGTTTAACACGCACCTGAGGCGTCAGGTGTCTCCCGCAAAGCTTGACGTTATGACGACAAAAAAAATAATAATTTGATAGAAAAAAAAAAAAAATATGAAACAATAAAGAAAAAAATAATAAGACTGAATATAATTTCTCTTATAAAAGGAAGTAAAAAAATAATAATCGTTTTTTTAAACGCTGATGTCAGGTAATAAGATATAATATATCTTGTATAAATAATATAAGATATATAATAATATCTATACATAAATATGTAATCTATATATAAATATATAACAGCTAAAAAGATCTGTCGTCATATTACTGAAACCTCGCTAATCAGGGGCGGAGCAAGAGGGGGGGGGGCAGGGGTGGCCATGGCCACCCTTAGCCAATCATTGGCCGCACCTACCATTTTTTTTACCCTCTAATACAGACAGTGGCAGCAGTAATACTACCAAAAGGAATGTTTAAACTTATTAAACATTTACATTTTTTTATATATTAATAGTAACTTGACAACTAAAATGCTGTGGTTTATTATGCACAATTAGTACGCAAATACTAACATTAAAGTTGATATATAAAGAATTCATGTTCTTTTAACCTCTTAATATCCACCTAATTTTGGGTAATCCTTGCCTATTTTGCATTCCCAAAAGGAAAAGCAAATAACACGTGCAATACATTATTTGAAAGCTAACACCCTCTAGTTTCTTAATATATAAATTAAAATTGGGTGACTAGAACGCAGACCAACCTGCATTAGTTCAAACATGGCTCAAAGTTATTGTTTTTTTATTCTCGGAAATGATAGGTCTTTTTCGAACAGCAGTAATAAAGAAATTATTGAGAAATAGTAGGTTTTATTGCATTATATTTACTCTACATCATATCAACCACAAATGCAGAAAATTTTAGACCTCTAGCTATAACAGTTCCAGAGTTGTGGGGTTTGGAACTTTTTGTGTCAGCTTGGAGCTGCGCGCAATGGCTCTACCTGCTGGTAAAAATATTACCGGTGGAATTTAATGCATTCTGAATTATTACCCTCACTTAAGGTCTTAAGGTTTTAAAGGGGAATGCCGTTTTTTTTTTTTTACATTGGGCCCTTGATTTTACGTTATTACATCATGTTCCACTCACCCATATAAGTCTTGTGTCATTTGGAGCTGTTCTGAAGATATTCCGTTAGGTTATATCCAAGTAATGTCTTCCTATGGGCAACGACTTTAAGGCACAAACTAAACTGTTCATAATTTATTCTTTATGGTACGCCAGCATTCATAACATCACTGTCCCCCAGACATCCGCGGTTATATATTTTTTATATTTATATCTTTTAGAAACGAAGCGGCGCGTGTATGACGTCATCCTCGCGTAAATAAAATAATGTAATTGAAAATATTATTATTGGTCATAAACATTTTTTTACACTGTTTACTTCCATGTAACAACTATAACTGCTGTCTGAGTGTCTGAAGTACACTTGACACCATTCAGTCTGACTTACCTTATCTGACACTAGTCATAAATGTTGATAAAAACCAATGTTGTATTACTTTCTAAAAAATAAAATAAATAGATCTGCACAGCCTCTATCCCCCATTGAAACAGATAAACCAACACTGTATGTTGAGGCATAGAATTACTCTAGAGTAGAAATTGAGAATAAGGTTTTATTAGTCACATGTTGAAAAGGTTGTAAATAAAAAACAAAAAAGGGATTTTCTTGGAAACAGATTCATAAAAGGTCATAGATCTTTTATCACTGTAGTTTAGTTGTGTTGAACTGGCCATAATTTTCTATATATTGAAGCATTGCTACATCTTTATCTATGAGGCAATCATTGAATTATTCCTGCCCTACTTATCATCCTTACTCTAAATTTAACAACCCATCTCCAGACCTTTTTCTCAAAACCTTTTCTTTAGATTTTCATTACTGCGATCAGAAAAAGGAATTTTCTTGCGTTTTGTATCTTAATTCCTCTTGGAGAATTGAGATTTATTAAAAAAAGAGAAATCTTAATGACAAATTTCCTAATTTTATTATAAATTTTATTTTGTTCATAACAAATTTTTTTTTCGATGTTTATAAATGACATCTTGGATCTCAGTTAGATGATCAATGTCATTTCATTTCAATTTAAAATAGTATATAATTTTATAACAAAATATATCAGTGACAATAACAAACTTTTTAAATTTCAATTAGGAAAATATACATTTATCAACACGGCAGCTTAAAGCATCAATGTAAATATGCCAGAATTAGCACAACAGTTAATTTCCATCATCTGTCCTAAGGCAGGTTAAAAGTGTGAACATTAAACAAGAGTCTATGAGAGAGAAAAGAGTGGACACAAACAGATAAATGCCAATAACATGGAATCAAATAAAATTAGGGTAACAGGCCCAAGGAGACAGATCAATTCACCTGTGAACACATGTCTGCTTAGTTTTCAATCAGTATTGATTTTAAAACATATGCAGGTTGCACAGCCCCTAACATGAGCTGGCAGTGTGTCCCATGTCTGTTATCCTCTGATGGATGCAACCATTTGGCCAAATTTGGTCCTACGCCGCTGAACATTACAGTCTCCTCTGGTTATAGCCCTGATGTTTATTCTAGCAATGTTTTTTTGCTTATAAAATCTGTTACAGGAGGAGGAGCAAGTCCATTTAAACCTTTAAAAACAAGACATGCATCCAAAAATATCTCGTGACATTCAAAGTCTAAATTTTACAATGATGATAACATGAAAGCTTTTGTCAAGAACTTTTCGAGTTTTCTTGAAGATAGACTGTAGGGGTTTCAGAAATGCCTCTGAAATGTGACACCATGAGGTATGACAGTGGTTTAAATGGCTAAAAATCAAGTTTTTGCTGATTAAAAACTCAGAGATGGTCTTATATGTTTAAAGTTTGAAAGATTAAACCTTATTAGATTTCAGACTGTCTTTACATGCTGCTTGAAATTTAAATTTGAGTCAAAGACCACTCCAAGCCCAACCACATCCAATCTCTCTCCATTGACATATATGATATTTCATCACCCTCTACTGGCTGTTAGGGAAAAAAACATAGAGTGTTTTTTCCAATGTTAAGATGTAATAATGATTATTGAACTTTATTGATCTCACATTGGAGAAATTTAGCTCTGCATTTAACCATCCCCTTGAGGAGCAGTGGGCTGCCATTGTGTGGCGCCCAGGGAGCAATCGGGGGTTAAGGGTCTTGCTCAGGAACCCAGAGTGCAGGCAGTGGGATTCGGATCGGGGACTCCGCCCTCCAGGACTCCTGCATGTTGAGACACTGATAGCATAGCGCTGCAGAGAATTGCACCAGCTTCACTTTTAGTTTTTGCATGAACATATAGTGCAGCATCATCAGCATATAAAGGCATTTTTATAGTACTTTCTTAACCCACTTGTGCTTTGAAAAATTTCCAAAGTAAAGAAAGTAAAACTGATTCTTGAAGTGACTTTTAAGGCTTTGATATTACAACATGTATCCTCCAAATGAACAAACACTCAACAGTTAAAGTTTTTCTTCCTTTAATACAATCTCTTCCTTCCATTCCAGATCATTTTTACATTGAAATTTACATAACATCATGATAAACCGTAAGAACACTTTCATTTGCCTTCATTAAAAGCAACTTGTCATGATAATAAGACCTCGCACTTAAAACATTCAGCAGTATTTCCACACAGGCAGAACTAGACCACCAATTAGATGGTGAAGAATACGCTCTTTAAAAGCTAAAAATTTGGTCTTTAAGAAATAAACCTCTACATATAACATCTAAAAGTTTCAGAAACTCATCAGGATTAGAGTTTGGTATCTATTTTTGACATATAGATGTTTCCTTTTCTACGAAAGCACAGATATCTGATATTTGGCACATTAAATCTCCAATTTCCTCCCTTTTAATAAATGTATACACAGACAGAAGTAAGCTAAACCCAAAACTCTGACAGCTCAAACAGGTAAGTCAGTGTTTACAATACAGATGAGATAAGATTTGGTGATGGAGACAGAACATTGTGATGACAGGAGACAAAGTTTATAAAATCAGATTCGTTTGTCAGAGTAAAAAACTCAAACGCCATTTTTTTTTTGTTTAGTATTTAACATAAAGAAAAACATTTCATATTTTTGATCTCTTCAAAAAATTGTCTAGTTTTATTTAGAAAATGATTATTCTAGGTGAGACTTCCTGTTGTATTTTTATTCTTTGCAGCTTCTTTTTTCTTTTGAATGATACGATAACCTTTTTTCCTAAAGCTCTCACATCATAAACATCCCACTCTGTACACGTGCTGTTTGTGCATCATTTTAAAAATATAGAAAATATTAAAAGAGAAAACGTACAGGTTAAAAACACATCTTACAATGCCTCTTCAAGTTATTTACACATCCCGAGTATTTAATCAGCAATGCAAAAGGTAGAGAGGCTGTTTTCATACATATTTATCTGGATTTTCTTTTGATTTTCATTCTGTACACAATTTACCAGGAACATAAAATCCATAACAAATCTGAATTTTTAAAAAATGAAACTATTTTCTAAAACTATAGGCACATTTTAACAACAGGAACCTCCATAGAGCCATTATTTATCCCCTCCAATTCCAATACCTTTCATAACAAAGGTTTAAAAGATATTGAGCCCCAGAAATAACTTGGATTCTATTTTAGAGTAAATTCACTGTGAAATGAAGCCCAGGTGCTTTAGACATTGTAGGTCTAAAGCACCTGGGCCAATTAGAGCACTTTATTAATGCTCCCTAATGTTTGCATCCACTCTATTTAATCTTTATAGTACAACCACTGTGTCAGAATAATTGGTAATGGTTCTTTTAAATGAGAATGACCTTTTAAGTGTCAGTGTAAGTTCAAGAAGCCAACAAAATAAGACTAAGGATTTAGGCTGAGGGACTAAAAAATATCAAAAACTATACCCCTCTCTCTATATCCAAATAGATCAAATTAGTAATGATATTATTATTCTGATTAATCTGAAAATAGTTCCTGGGAGAGGCTTGTTTCCTTTTTTATTGAACCACTTTCGACTTATTTTGAAGGATAATAAGGAAAGACACTGCTGATGTTCATAGAAAGGGGGGACGATCAAGTAAGAACAAGCCAGACTTTTCAAGGCCAACACCAACTTCAAACTTTCTTTAAAGTTGGACTGCCTATTTGGACATTTTTAAAGAAATACAAACATTAAAACATGTAGGTTTCTGAACGAGGGTTTGATTCAAATTAGAAGACTATTCCTGTTTATGAATCACCAAATATGCTCCACATTTAATTTTACTAAACACATTAGATTCCCTGGCTCCTGTGGATTTAACACTTAAATACTTTCAACGATTTTCCCTATTAATTAAAATAATAAAGATTTGAAATGGTCTAAAAAGTAAAAATAACGCTTTTCAGGGTTTTAAATTAGTGTGAATATATTATCTGTGTAAAAACAAAGAACATATATAACAAAAACCCAAAACACATGGATGAGTTGGATGGAAACACGTTGTTTGATGTAAATAAAAGACAAGACGTATTTTCAAAGAAAATCAACTGAAGAAAGAACTGGTTTATCAGAAACTCACAATCTGAACCAAGAATGAACTCTGGAAACAAAAGATTTCTCCGTACTCCACTATATCCCATATTTAAACAAACGCTGAAAAAAATAAATAAATCTAAATTTAGCTTTGCGTTTACAGACCAAACACGTGGGTTTTGTTCAGAAAGTTTGGTATTTGGCCAAGTCAACCAATGGATCAGCAGCAATGAAGGAACAAAAATGGCTGATCAGTGCGTCTTGGAGAAACAGTTCTCTCTATTTTAAAACCAGCTCTGATACAAGGTAGTGAGGACACATACATTAGGTAATGCGGAAGGCTGAATTTTTATTAATGTCATAAGAGGTCGCCAAACCAAAGATTGTAACTAAATTAAGTTCACCGATGTATAACGTTAAAAAACTTTTCCCCCAAAATGACTCCTTTAACTTCTATTTTGAAAAGGAACACATGAAGCTAATTAATCTTTCTATAAATCAAATTTGATATAAACTGGAACAAATGTATTTCTTTTAAAAATAAAGGTGTTTTTTAAATAAATACTCATGTGTAATACATTTACCATCACATATTGATGACATTTATCATGAAAACATTCTGCACACCGACGTGCCTTAGAACCAGCCAGCCATTTTTTCCCCCCACAGGCTGCACGACACTGTTAAAAGGTAACTGTGACTGTTAGTGAACTAAAACAACCTCACATTCAACATTCGTACAAAGTTTCAATAAGGCATCCCATACTTGAAGTTCATTCGCACCAGCATTGTCTGGATCTCGACAGCAGCAGAGGCGTCCACGAGTAGACAGCTTCCTGCTCCGTCCTTCTCGCAGCTGTGGCGATAGCTTTGGTCAGTCTTGCAGCTGGAGTAAGAAATAATAAATACAGCCGAGCCAATGCTCCAAGAAGTCTTTAGATTCATGCAGGTGAGACTGTACAGACTTTCTGTAAAATTGTCCGCAGCCGAGACAGGAAAGTGCGGCCAGGTGAGGTCCTATCTGCAGGAAGAGCCCAGCACGCTGCCTGTCGAAGGGGCGCCGGCGGTTGTGCTGTAGTGAGGGTAGTTGTCGTTGGGAGGCGGGCTTGGGAGCATGGAGTTCCCGTTGGTCGGGGAGCAGCTGAGCTGGAGTCTCCGCAGGTACTCTGCATGAACAGGTTTGTGGCTCTGCAGCACTTTGATGGCCTCCTCCACAGTGAACCACTCCCGCTTCCGGCCTGCAGATGGAGACAGAGGACATGCATACGTTGGCAAACTAAATACCAAAAAAAACTGCATCACATGAAGAAAACATGATGCACTTGTGAAAGCTTTAATGCAGGAATTAAAACTACATTTGATCTGCTACTAAAGCATGTAAAGCAGACTATAACACAAGAGATGTTCTCTGCACATCCTAATCATTTAAAGATCTCAACACCGGACCCCCATTACAGACGATGGCGGCGTACTGCAGCCGAGATCTGTGGCCTAGATTTACGGTCACCTGTTCTCACTGCATTCCCACCAGTCTCCAAGCAGTTTGCAGGCCTCCGCGTAAATAAAGAGACACACAGCAGAGCCAGTAGAAACAGGAGCACAGATGAGAGAAGATCTACCTATGTTCACAGAGTCCTCCCAGGCTTCAAGCGTCTCGGTCACAGTCAACACATACACGTACGTCCGGTGCTTTCGATCCTGGTTTTGCTTTAAGGACACATTGAAAGAGATGTTTTAGAACTATAGCTTACTTTACATACCTCATCTAAAAGGTTTAATTCGTACTAGCATGTTAATTTTAACACACACATACGAAGCTTACCTCGAAAACACCAAGCAGGCGCCCCAGCTTTCCCTTCACACCAGCCTGGGGAAAAAAATTTAAAATAGATATTTTTAGCTGAAGACATTTCATCTCTGTGTGAGGAGCTGCCTTTTCATAAAAGCCTGTCATGCAGAAAACAGAGCATGACAAAACACAGGCAGGCCTCCAACATTATAAGTGTTCTCAGAACAATAGCAGTTTTATATTCCATTTTAATAAATACAAGACAAGTCGGACACTATGAATCCAACTTTAACCTTCCCTCTACGGTTAAAGTCTGCATCCTCTACATAACATTAAACCACAAAATGTTGTGTTTTAAAAGACATTTAACTATAATAGACCAACGCAAAGTAGAGCAGGACTTAAATAGAAGGAAAATTATGGAATTATTCAAATGAAATTCTGTAAAACTGTAGGATGCCTTTATATTATATTTAGCCTCGTCTGTTCCTGTTTGGCTGTGACACCATCCTGGAGAGAAATATCAGCTGTGCTGCTGCCATCAACACCTTTGTTTATAGATGTCGGAGATCGGCCTGTTTTTTCAGTGTAGTCCGGTTTCTCTGACTGACTGGTTGGATGTGCTCGTTTCATCTTCTGACATCGGGGCTCGTCTGCCTGACTGTGTGTTTCCTGGACGGGGCAGTCTTTTACAGTTGCCTTTTGTATCTCTCCTTCTGTCTCCTTGAACCCCAGTCGTCCTCAGCAGATGGCCGCTCACACTGAGCCTGGTTCTGCTGCAGGTTTCATTCTGTTCAAGGAAGTTTTTCCTCTCCACTGTCGCTACAAGCATGCTTAGTGTGAGGGATTGCATTCGAGTCAATGAGTCAATGCAATCAACTGGTTTTCCTTAGATAGAAAACTTTAAATCAATTTGACTGGATGATCTGGTGAACTGTAAAGTGCCTTGAGATGACATGTGTTGTGAATTGGCACTATAGAAATAAACTGAACTGAATATTGGTAACAGGAGACGAACTGCAGAGGTCAACAGGTCAGGTGAAAGAATCTGAAGACAGGAAAACTATTAGCAGCCAGTTCAACAAATCGGAGCTCTCTGCAAGGAGCAGGCTTTTACACTAATAAACAAAACCCTATAGAAGGCAGAAAAAAACTAACCCTTTAAAATGCAAATATAATAGTTTATTTTTAGTTTATTAACCCATTAGAATGGTCCAGTCAAAGTCCAGACCCGAATTCAATCAAAAATCTGTATCCACTTCAAAAAAGTTTAAGTACATGCCTCACTTTTTCCATTTTTATTTCTACAAATGTTTAATACCATGCATCCCTTGTGTGTTGGTTTATCTAAAAAACTAAAGAAAATATTTAAATTTGTTATTAGAAAGAGACCAAATGTTTTAAAAAAGGGCTTTCAGGTGTGGATGCTTCACCAAAACAGGGATGTTTGCTTTGTTGTTTCAATCACTTTTCCCTTTTAGGGGGTAATAATGTCTAAAGGATGAGAGAAAAAGCTGAATGATGGCTTTCCATACAGTACATTACACAATAAAAGCCATATTTATGGTTTGTAGTGTCTAATTGACTGGGTAGAACCTCTGCTTTCTCTTTATTACAGGAAGGCCATTATGCCTTTCATAACATTATTTTACAGCTAAGATCTACTTAACAGGTATCAGATAGCTGTCAGGACACATGACATCTGTCCTTCCCTCCTCTCAGCATGCCTCACAAGTGTCAGCCTGTCCACTGATGTGTCCAAAGACAGACGCCACGAGAAGGGTTGTGGGGGGGTGTTCAAAGCCAAGTTTAGATCGCTAACGCAGCAAAGAACAAGTGGTTCTCAAACAGCAGGACCTCTGAAATGCCAAGGGACCCCTGTGTGACCGAGCTAATGTCACTGCAGCCTTTAAAACAAAAAACTCTCCATCACTTTTTGTCATGTTTCCTACACCCCCAACCTGGTTGCTCTTAATTTGTACAGACCAAACTTCTATAACATTTATTTACTTTGTCATAGATTTAGAAATGTTATTATCCATTCTTATTACAGATTCCTGCATAATTACTTACAATTTCAACAAAGAAAACGAAAAACACTAGTTATAAACTCATATTTTATAACAATAGCATAATCTAACATTAAAAAACTGTAGATATTAAATATACTTTGACTCAATCCTCTCTACAGGACTGATTTCAACCCTAATCTTTCCAGTTACAATAAATCGTACCTTCTAAGTTGATCAGAGTGAAAGACAACATTGCATGTAAGTAGATCCAATCTAACCTGATCCTCATGAGTCAAAAACAGCTTTAAAAACATCTCTGCATTTTAACGGGTCTGTGTCACATCATATTGATCCCACAGAGAAACCTGAGGTGTTACTAAATAAAGGCTCCTCTGATCCACTTAGAAAATATGAATTACAGAAAGCACCATTTATATCACAGGAAGAAACAGGTGATATCATTTCTGGAAGCAGGCGTGTGATTAAACCCAGAGGGTTCTGTGTTTAAAAGCAGAGCAGTTTGCAAACAGGTTGCGGCGTTTGGGTGTCAGCTTTGAGACTTGTTTAGCGATCTCTCATCTCATGAATCACTGTGATATAAAAAAGAAAAAAAGGCAAGGCCACAGATTTACTGACCTCCTCAAAGACTTCTCGCACTGCAGCCCCCCAAGGCTCCTCCTCGGGCTCCATCCCTCCTCCAGGAACGATCCACTGGTCTGGGTGCCGGCTGCTGGTGACCAAAAGAACCTGTCAGAAAACAAAAACATGTTAAGGAAACAGAATTGAGTGATAAAATGGTATAAAAGGGGTACAATTTACTCAATTTCAAGCATTTGTTTTTAAAATATATGAATTCTTTTGCAGTAAATTCAGCTAAAATGAAGATATTCCCAGTAATTTCACTCTGTGAAGCAGTTTTTAAAGTTTGAATTACACTAAAACTGTACACCGATCCACACTTATCAGATCCGCTCACATATGCATGGAGTTGGTACTGACAAGGAGCCCAATATTAATAAACATTAAGGGAAAATATGAGTACTGATCATAAAAGGAGAGATAAGACAATTTGCGATTGGATTATTTAACAATCTATGCTGTGATCCATATTAATCATTAGGTGTTAATGTGTGTTAATGACAAACTCGTGCATCAGGCAGCTTGAGCAACAGATGGTGAAATCCACCTCCACCAACAGGCTGATCAGCAGTAATCTGCTGCACTCAGGCTGTCACTTAATCCAAACGGAGCTTTCGCATAGCTTTCCTTACATTCTCTAATGGGATTGGGGCTGAAGTTACAGGAGGCTCCTCTGAGGAGCTGAATCAGAGCCGAGAGGCCAAAAAAATCAAGTGTAAGCTTCCTCACTCACGTGCAGAAAAAAAACTCAGATCCCAAACTCCACAGTCCCAAGTGGGAGGTTAGGTTAAAGCAGGTATGAGAAAATAGAAAAGTTGTGGAGCAAATATTCACCTGACTATGAAATACAGGCTAAAGGAAGAAAAAGGGATCCACTGACAGCAGATGACGTCTTCTCAGGAGAGTGAGAACTGTAAAAAAGGTGCAAACATGAACTTCATAACCCTTTTAAATGAGCTGTGTCGTGTATAGATGAGCTGAAGCTGAATTTTCATTAAAAATGCATCTAAGATGGTTAATATCTCTGCAAATAAAATGGTTTAAAGTTCCAAACAAGCAGATTTTCTGTTTATTTTAAGCGTGCTGTTATAGAATGAACTGAAATGTTCAAAATGTATTTCTGCAGATGCTTCCATCAAGTTTAAACTTCAAATTTATATCTATATATGTATAAAAAAACACTAGAAAGTCTTTTATATGGGTAACTGAACATGCAGAAACTACTGTTATTCCTTAAACTTTAACATTTTGTCACATTTTTAAAACCTTTCTTCCAGGATCATTTTGCTTTTAGCATCTCTACAGCATAACGCTGCTGCTACCATGTTTCAAACATAAAAAAAGAGCACTGTCATCCACATGCTTGTTGCATCCTGTAAATAGCATGTTTAAAAAAATGGAATCTATTATAGCTTTCCTTAAAAAAATGTTTTTAGTATATATTTTTGTCAAAAATACAGATCTGGAATGTAGAAATAACAACAGTACCAAGAAGAACAGATTCTCCCTCCTGGGCTCCCATGGATGACTGCTAGTTATAACTGTGACTATAGGGGTTAAAGGGATCAATAGGAAAATGCATTCGAAAACTTTTGGATTTATTTGTAAAAAAAAAAAAATACTGTATGAAAATGGTAAAGGGGTATATGAACTCTTGCAGGGAATTGTATTCAGATAACATGACAGGATAAAGATTCCCCAGATTTACCCAGACCTGGAAAAATAGGGCTTTATTGGCTCTCTTCATCCAATCTACCAGTGTGTGATGTTGATATGCAGCCAGCAGGGCTTAAAGGAAGCTCCCTGCTGTGGACGTTTCTACAGCGTGATGTATACAAAACAATAAGCTTCCACCGGCAGCGAGGACAAAAGAGATTTCTGCTTTGCTTGCTCCATTTTTATCTTCTGGCTGCTGTCAGAGAGTGATCACATCACTTAGCAGCATGTGTTTTTTTATTATTCTGGTTTATTTTAAGTTATTTTGTAAATAAATATAGGACTTTGATGGGGAATTAATATGCTCCAATACTTGGAGGAAGCAGCTCAGACTGCACAGGCAAAGAGGCCAAAGAAACAAAACAAAATATCTCGCATCATGATGAGAGCTGGGTCAACAGTCAGCTGACGGCTGAATCCTTACGACAGCAGCTCCACATGCGTTTGTGAAGTGGATCAAGATGAGGGGGGAAAAAAACTCAGAGGAAGCACAGTACTGTAACGCTAAATCACAGCCAAACTCTATGAGTGCGTCATAAAAACAATGTTTGGCCAGAAATGAAGAACAAGATGCTCCAAAATGCCTGGTGCTAAAAGATAGCCGGACACGTGAATAAACCCAGGTGATGACAGAGCCAAACTGGGACAACAGGAGAGGATATTCTGGAGGGCACACACAGATCCTGCTTCTCCCTAAAGAGGCACGTCTGGTAGGTGACAAATAAAGGAGAGCTCTGAAAGCCAGAGTGGGCACGGCACCAAGAGGAGGGACCGATGGGAAGAAAGAAATCAGGGCTGTTAAAAAAAAGATTAAAGACACTGAATTAATAAAGAATTTAACTTTCATCTTTTTGTGAAATATTGGAGGATGATGTTTTTTTCAGGTCAGTGATTCTTTGGTGAAGAAGTTGCCGTTTTCTGTATCACTCAGAAGAAAACAGGAAATCAAAGCAGTTACTGAGATGCAAGATGTTATATGAAGGAAAGCCTTATTTATCACAATATGCCTGTGGGTCTTTCAGGCAGAGAGAGCAGCACCTGCAGCAGACAATGGCAAAGTTGAGATATGTTGTCTACAGGGAATACACAAAGACTGCATCCTTATCACAGCTAGCTGTGCTAAAAGCTAATAAAGATAATGAAAACGATTTTAAATATCAGCCAAACAACCGGGTTGTTTTTTTTTTATTCAAATGTAACAGCCTGTCTGGGGTATAGAGAAGCATTTTAAATGCTGCTCTTCTATCTTCTTGTGCTGGATTAATAAAAGGGTTCATTTTAAATGTTACAACATCAAGTTTAGAAATTGACGCACCCTTAATGAATCTATGTAACAAATCAACAGACAAAACAGGAAATACAGCTTTCAATAACTCACAAATTTAGACAAACTTTTAATTTAACCATTTCAAAACCATAAAAAAACAAGCAGATTTTTTACTTAAACTGCTTGCCAATAACAAAGCCGATCCTGTGATTTAGTTTGATTATATAGATGCTTTAAGAACATCTCTTAGTGTGTTTGTCAGCTGCAAACCTCACATGTGAGAGGATGTTTCAGTTTACATCATCTATTTCAGTTTAATTAAGTTCCTAGTCCTACTGTTACTTTTCCACGGTTAAACATGGAGATTGGAATTATAAGGAGCAAATAGCCTGTCTGGGACTCAGTGACAGATATTTACTATTAGAGAGGCTCCACAATGGAGGACCCAGTCCTCCTCAGTTGTCACTGCTGTCCTTCTGTATTGTTTAGCTCATTACTGGTTTGTTCAGTTGCTGTCACAGAGCTTTGTGACCCGGGGGCTCCACTTTCTCCTTTTCCTCTCCAAAACAATACAACCTGACAGCGTGCACAGCTCCAATTAAACAACAGCCAGGTGTCGTGTTCCTGACAAGAATTGGTTGTGAGCTTAAGAGAACCTGATATCAGGTGCAAAGCTTGGTTACAATCAAAGCATCGCAGCAGTTCTCTTACAGCATCTTCCCAATGTTTGCATGAGTAGACATGCCAGTCAAAACCTGAAATTCCTGAGGTGTTGGGGGTTGCTGACATTCTTCCGTTGTCACAGTTATTCTCTGAACTCTTTTCCAGGTAAGCATTGTTCGGGAAATTTCAAGAACATGGTGAGAATAAGGTGCTGAGAATTGTTAGGTTTAAAAAAACCATCAGTACTCTGGCAGCATAAGACAATAGAAAAAGACTCCTGAATAAATTTGAAACGTTTTCAGAAAAAAAACAGAAAGTCTGGCTGCCTCAGATTTAGGTTTGCTTTGTGATTCCATGACAAAATCTCATTAAAAAGATCAAAAAATGTTTGGATTAATTATCTGTATGATCCAAATATCGTGAAAAAACTGTAGCTGACCTCCAAATTATTAGTCTTCTAAAAATACTATTTTACAGCATTTTTATATTTGTAAAAATCTACAACATACAACCATCACCTATATACAAAGTCTTATATAAGCTACTTCTTATAAGTTTTCATTTTGTTTATAAAAAACTAAATCTATTCAATGTTTTTTTCTCTCGCTAAATTAGCTGTAAGCTTTTACTTTTCTTGTTGAGAGTGTATGTGTGTGTGTGTGAGTGTACAGGTGCTGGTCATAAAATTAGAATATCATGAAAAAGTAGATTGATTTCAGTAATTCCATTTAAAAAGTGAAACTTGTATATTATATTCATACATTACATACAAACTCATATATTTCAGATGTTTATTTTGTTTAATTTTGATGATTACAAATGACAACAAATGAAAATCCCAAATTCATCATATCAGAAAATTAGAATATTACTGAAGACCAATAAAAACAAAGGATTTATAGAAATGTTGGCCAACTGAAAAGTATGAACATGAAAAGTATGAGCATGTACAGCACTCAGTATTTAGTTGGGCCTCCTTTGGCCTGTATTACTGCAGCAATGCGGCGTGGCATGGAGTCGATCAGTCTGTGGCACTGCTCAGGTGTTATGATAGCCCAGGTTGCTCTAATAGTGGCTTTTAGCTCTTCTGAATTGTTGGGTCTGGTGTATTGCATCTTCTTCTTCACAATACCCCATAGATTTTCTATGGGGTTAAGGTCAGGAGAGTTTGCTGGCCAATTAAGAACAGGGATACCATGGTCCTTCAACCAGGTACTGGTAGCTTTGGCACTGTGTGCAGGTGCCAAGTCCTGTTGGAAAATGAAATCTGCATCTCCAAAAAGTTGGTCAGCTGCAGGAAGCATGAAGTGCTCTAAAACTTCCTGGTATGTGGCTGCGTTGACCCTGGACCTCAGAAAACACAATGGACCAACACCAGCAGATGACATGGCACCCCAAACCATCACTGACTGTGGAAACTTTACACTGGACTTCAAGCAACGTGGATGAAGTGCCTCTCTTCTTTTCCTCCAGACTCTGGGACTTTGATTTCCAAAGGAAATGCAAAATTTACTTTCATCAGAGAACATGACTTTGGACCACTCACCAGCAGTCCAGTCCTGTTTCTCTTTAGCCCAGGCAAGACGCTTCTGACGCTGTCTGTGGTTCAAGAGTGGCTTGACACAAGGAATGCGACAGCAGAAACCCATGTCTTTCATACGTCTGTGTGTGGTGGTTCTTGAAGCACTCACTCCAGCTGCAGTCCACTCTTTGTGAATCTCCCCCACATTTTTGAATGGGTTTTGTTTCACAATCCTCTCCAGGGTGCGGTTATCTCTCTTGCTTGTACACTTTTTTCGACCACATCTTTTCCTTCCCTTCGCCTCTCTATTAATGTGCTTGGACACTGAGCTCTGTGAACAGCCAGCCTCTTTAGCGATGACCTTTTGTGTCTTGCCCTCCTTGTGCAAGGTGTCGATGGTCGTCTTTTGGACAACTGTCAAGTCAGCAGTCTTCCCCATGATTGTGTAGCCTATAGAACTAGACTGAAAGACCATTTAAAGGCTTTTGCAGGTGGTTTGAGTTAATTAGCTGATTAGAGTGTGGCACCAGGGGCCATCAATTTTGAACCTTTTCACAATATTCTAATTTTCTGATATGATGAATTTGAGATTTTCATTTGTTGTCATTTGTAATCATCAAAATTAAACAAAATAAACATCTGAAATATATGAGTTTGTATGTAATGTATGAATATAATATACAAGTTTCACTTTTTAAATGGAATTACTGAAATCAATCTACTTTTTCATGATATTCTAATTTTATGACCAGCACCTGTAAGATTGTGAATTAAAAGTGTACTGTGAGTCATTTTGCTAAATAAATGGGTTTCTTTTATTGGCAAACACCTTACCCATTAGTATATGTTGTGTATTTTTGTTTATCTTTTCCAGGGATATTCACTATGATGAATGAATGAATGCATTTAACCCATCCGGATGGGTTAAATGCCATTATGAGGCGCCCGGGGAGCAGTGTGAGGTTAAGGGTCTTGCTCAGGGAGCCAGAGTGGCACTCTGTGGGAGTGGGGGATCGAACTCACAATCTCAGGATTCAAAGCCCTATGCCCTAACCACTAGGCCACCAGGAGGATTACCCATAACAGCATAACAGAAACACATGGTGTTATTAGAAAATCAGCACATTTTTTTTCCTAGTGAACCATTTTTTGGAAACTAATTATTTTTTTCAATTCTAGAAATTAATACGAATCAGCCAACCAGCTTAATAGTAAAAAAAATTCAGGGAACAATAGGAGTAGAACATATTTATAGAGAGTTGTTAAAAAGAAAAAAATATTTTTCCAAGTCACTGTCTCTTTAAAAGCATGTCTGCTACGCAGTTGGGTCGCTGAAGGCCGGTGTGGCGGGACGCAGCGGCTTTCATGAATGGCCCCTGCTCAGTCAACGATGCCGACGCAACTGCCACTGTTGTTGTGAAACGCAATATGTGATTTACACATTAAAATGATGCACGACACTCATCCCTGTCCCCAAATTAAACACGGGTTGTTAAAAAGGCTTTAAATAAAACGCGTAAAACAAAAAGCCTCGCCCTCTTGGATCGCTTACTTCCCTCAAGCTAGCGAACGGCTAACGGGATGTGAAAAGATTCGACCTTCAAAATAAAAGCATTTCTTGTAATAATGGGGTGCTTTCAAGCAGGCATATCTAAAGGAACGTTTTATTTTGTAGAAACTGGGCGCGTGTCAATAGTTGACTTGACAGCGGCGCCTTTACGTACTCAAACTAGCCTAAACTGGCTGGCTCCTGGCGCATCAACAGCAGTGGCAACAGCCCCCCCACCCCACACACACAAGCATTAAAATTAAACACATCATACCTCCTCTTCCCGTTCGTTTTTGAAGCACAGGCACGCCGCTCTTTTCTTAAACCCCTCTCCGTCGTACGTCCTGGTCTGGTTCGGTTTCAGCTTCATTATTGTGAATTTTAAAATTTCTTCCCGACTTCAAAGATAAAAACCGGCAAAAAAAAAACCTCAGCTCAGTTAGTGCCTAAAGAGTTAACAGCAACGCATCGCCGCTTTCCTCTGCATCCAAGGTCCAAGATGTTCTGTCATCGGCTGCGTGACGAGGTACGTGGGAGATATCCCCGTTATACAGCCCTGAGATTCAGCCTCCTCTTAAAAATATCCCTCCTGTCAAAAAGATAAAGTTAAATGATCTCCAAACTAGCGGTAAATGAGTAGGGTCCCACGGGTTAGATGTTATAAAGACAACGCCTCCTCAGCCCTCCTCTGGATCCGTTCAATGCAGGGGGATCTAAGGTAGCGAGGAGCTCATTGGCTGAGCCCCTGTCAGTGGGCGGGGCTACGTTGCTGCTCAAAACAATGCTGATGAACATGTTCTAACAGTGCAGCAGGGGTATTCACCTGATGACCTGTGGCTGTCAGAGTGTGCAGTCCCTGATGAGGACAAAAATGCATTACATAATCCTCATTAGAGGCTGTTGTTGACCAAATCTAGTAACATTTCATTTGTAATATTGTTGTATATATAACTGTGTTAACTAATGATTGTAGAGGGGGATGGACAGGAATGCGTGCCAAACTTATCAGATTTTTATACGTTAAACTCTGCTTTTTAATTCATTTCATATTGTGTTGGTCAATTACATAAGAGACCTGTAAGATACACTGAAGTCTGTGGTTATAACCAAGGGAGGAGCTAGATGGGGGGCCAGGGGTGGTTATGTCCACCCTTAGCCAATCATTGGCCACCCTACCATTTAGTTCCCTCTAATACAGATGGTGGCAACAGTAATACTCTCAAATGGAATGTTCAAAACATTTTAATTTTTCGTATATTAACAACAAAAACACTGTTGTTAATTATGCACATCAATATACTAACATTAAAGATGATAAATACAGAATTCAAGCAGAAATAGATTTTGTGTTTTATGGGGTACAACTTATTAAAGAATCAATTTATGTAGATATTTGTATTGGAAATTCCAATTTTATGCAGAATGATTACTGATAAGTAAAATTTTATCCATTATATCTTTTATCTAGAAAGCATGGATGTTTGAATATATTTGTGTATTTGTTAGCAAAGGCTGTGGGAAAATATAGTTTGTCTATAATTAGATAATATGGATGTTTTGCTCGCTAATTTTCCTGTTGGAACAGTGTAGATTTACCGTGAGGTTTTAGTGCCTATCTATTTTCGGCCACCCTTCAGTGTACATTGGTTATTACTTGGCCACCCTTATAAAAAATTTATGGCTGCGCCTCTGGTTGTAACATGACAAAATGTGAAAACCTTCAAGGGGTATTGATACTTTTCTAAAATTCTGATTTAGTAAATATGCATTTCTTTGCTCATGCTGTAATCAAGAAGCAAAGGGTGCATATTTAGCTCCTGCAAACCTGTTACATAAAACAGAGTGCTGGTGTTGATGTCAGTATGAAGCAAACCTTGTAAAACAAAAATGCATTAGTATTCATGAATCCATGGACCCGGCCTTAGTTAGCTAATAATTTTGGCTGCCTTGAAAAGGGAGACGTCCTGAGTGGACTATAAAATAATTAAAAACAAGAAATCTCAAGGATGAGGAAGAATGTTTATTTCTCTATTCAGATCAGAGCCTTGTGTCAGTTTATACCTCTTGAACAGCAAAAGTCTTAAAAAAAAGAAACATAAAGAAATATGTCAGTAAGTAAAAAAGCACCTACAGTATTATGCTAATGAATTCAAACGGATAAAAGCCACCTTCAATCATTTATTGACTGTTTTAATGCAGTTTTATTATTTCGCTTCTGAATGTTTCCCTTTCAGGTTCCACATTTTGGAAAATCACATGCACACTGATACAGCAATCTGGTGTCTTTGTGTTTGCTTAAGATAATTTATAGATTGCATTGTGCTTTGGTATGTGATCTCTAACCTGTAAAACCGTCCAAATGATTATTTGTATAGGTCATTTGTAAAGACGTGACCCGGATCAGGTTTTTGCTCTGTCTAATGTGTTGGGAAACAGATCAGTGACTCCCTTGCTTCCGTTGTTTTATATGTAATTACTGCAGTCAACTTTTAACCTTTTAATTATGTTTTCTTCTTCTTTTTTTCCGCAAGTAAAGGAGTAAAAGGGGGAGAAGTGTTTTTCTCAGTGGGTTTGAGCTCATGGTCCAAAGTTATACAAGGTTTGTAAAAACTTTTGCTCTCTGTTACAAAACTCCTTTTCTTGTCTAAGTGAATCATCAGCGCTCCTTCTGCATATACAGCCATTCAAACCCATTAAATGTCATTCTATGAACAGACAGAGCTATTAAAAACTGCTCATACACTGATAAAAAAAACAGACATTGTTGTCCAGATCTGATCTGTAACTGCAGCAGATAATCAAATCATATTTAGAGGGCACATGTTCAAACAGGTTTACGGTGTTCTGCATCACCCTCCTTTACTGACACCTTATCTTTAAGTGCTGAAAATAGAAAACTAATTAATCAGGTAAAACTAATCAAAAAGAGGAATAGAAAAATTAAACCATGGAATAAATGACTGGAGGATCTTTTACATAGATAATATTATTAAATGAAATAAAATTGTAGGGAAACATGTAGTGCAAAATCATTAAAAATCCCTTTTTATAACAATTAAAGAATTAATATTTTAGTTTCTTGATTAGATCAGTTCCTAATAACCTTTGATTCATAATCAAAAGCTTCTCTCATTGATTAGGTATGTCTATGACATGGCAGAAGCCAATGTTCAAATGGGAAAGACAAGGAAACATGCCACCCACGTACTGTAGGCGTGTTGAGCCTTAACATGAAAACTACATGCTAACAAGTCATCTTTATTAGTAAATCAATCGCTCCCGTTGGTTGTTGTTCCACAAACTAAAGAAATGCAGTGCAGGGAGTCTTTTTCCTTTGTTGTCTCGGAGGATGCTTTTAAAACTTGACTGAGAACCTTTACGTTTTATCAAGCTTTTTTTTTAACTAAAGCTTTGTTGTGATTTTTTGAAATTTATTTGGTTTAGTGTTTTAGTTTACACAGTACTTTTGTTGTACATCACTTTGTGACTCTGTCTAAAAAAGCGTTTTTATGAATAATCTTGTCGTAGCCTAGGGGGCCCTGCTGAAAAATAAATGTGCTAAGTGTACTAAAATTTAGCATACTTTTGTGAACTTGAAGGCACACTAATCATTACTATACTTTAAGTGTGTTTATGATTAGTTAACTTGAAGGATGCTATTTTGGAACAACTAATTTTGTACTAAATATATTTAAATTGTAATTAAATTGTGGACAAGCTCAACTTGAAGTGTATTTAGTGTACTTTGATGTGCTAAAGTGGAACAACTTAAAGTATATTTTGTATACTTTAAGTATATGAGTTTATATGTACTAATATATGCTTAATTAGTCAAATTAAAGTGCACTATGGTTGTATTATAACTACATTAAAAATGATGTTAGTGTCTTAAAAATATATAAGCTTTATACTTTTAATATACTCTTACTGTGGTAATAATATGCTTAATTATACTGTTGGCTTATTCCAATTACTAAAAAAGCATACTTTGCACTTAATAGTAAATATACTTTATCATTACATTGCTATACTACTTTCTACCTTGCACATTCTTGCAAATGTATTAACAGTATACTAAATGCTGAAAGACTTGTGGATATACTTCCGTGCAGATGAAAAAATATACTTTAATGTATTTGAAACATGTCCAAATTATAGTACATTACAAATAATATAACTGGTACTATCTCAGAATGTATAAACATTTACATATCGACTTTAACCATTTTCATTATAAAACTTACAACACATTTTCAAATATTGTTACTTTAGTACACTTTGTAGAAATATGTCAATGTCAGGCAGCAGACCTAAACATTACAAATAAACTTTAAAGAACACAGAGGAATACTGAACAATGAAAAACAACATTCCTTATTATTGCACCCCTAAACCCTCGCACCATACAAAAACACGCCCACCACACATTATTTTCCTTTTTTTGGCTGAACTGCTCATTGTTACATTTTCGTCTGATGGCCGTGCGCCAACTCCAGAAGAACAGCGTCTGTTAACCAAACAGAGAGATACTGTAAGTCACGCAGCATATTTATAGTATTTTTGAACAGTATATCAGAAAAGTCTGACAAATTGTATCAGTATGATATACCAGGGTCCATAAGTGCACCAGAAAAAGAAATTGTCCATTTCAGTTGAATTTAAATAAATCTGATGCATCAAGTGGTTTTATCAGATCTGATCAAAAAAATTAAACAAAGTAACAACAAAAATTGTCCGAGATCTCAGAAAAGAAAAAAATTATGGATCTGCAGAAAGAAAGGGAAGAAAAATCCTTAAGTTTCCTTGTTTTTCCTACCACCCTCCAGGGAACCGGATGGCATTCACATTGGGAACATTCTGCATCAACATCTCTGGTGGAGTCTAGTCCAGTCCATACAATGAACTGCTCAGCTGTAACAGCAGGTTCTGCAACTATGTAAAAAACAGCCTGCACACTAATGTCCAGAGCAATTACTTCGATTGGAAAATAAATCATGTAATCACTATAATATAAATTGGTTTTACCACATTTATACAGACAAAAATATATACATAAAGTAAAATTATCAATTTACACGTGGTTCACTGTCTAAGAAATCATTATGGTCAGTAGTCAATACTTGTATCTGGAAAAAACAATCCAGGACACCTATGAAGGGTTAATTTTACGTTAACCCCTTGTGGGGGTTTTACAGCAACATCACACACGATGTAGCTAGCTTGCAAGTGCATTTTTTTTTAGAAGAGCACATGGGGGGTGTGTTAGCCTCCTTGTCACTGTGCTAATGCATTCAATAAATCAAAACAGCTAGTAAAATTACATATCTTACAAAACATTATATCCTGACTGGTTTTACATCTCAAAAAATATATATATTTCATTCACAGGTTCATGTGAACTCACCAGGATATTCTTCACAGCAAATCTTCCTGCTCAACCGATTACATCTCCTGTTTCTACAATACAAATATAATAATCAAAATCGCGTTTTATACAGATATCTTAAGAATTCAAAACCAAATGGGAATGTTTTGAAAGTTACCTCTCTCCATGCAGACCGAGGCCTTAAAAGAAAAGCACGCTGGCTCTGAGCAGGGAGGAGCCGTGACTAACTGCTGCGCAGGTGTGGTGCATTCAAAGTCTATGGGAATTTTCAGTACTGAACCAAAAACTGACATTTTTTTAATGAGACTTGGTAATAAAATAAAAAATTACAGACAGCTTAATAACCATGGGTTACACATTCATTAAAGACTATATAATATATGTGTTATAGCTTCTGACTTTTACTATGACATCTGCAGGAAAAATAGGTTGGTAGGTATATTATAATATCCCAGCCTATAAGATAAACCTATCTGATGGTTTTCTAAAAGACAGTATTGCTTCCAGTATTATATCTTCATTCTGAAATGTTTGCCCAAGTCCACTGTAAGTCATCAAGGGTAATCATACATAAACACTAGTGCTAGCTAGTGGAAGTGGACAAGAGGACAGAGAGGAAGATGGTGGAAGTGGACATGGCGACAGAGAGGAAGATGGCGAAATGAACATGATGACAGAGAGGAGGATGATGGAAGTGGACAAGAGGACAGAGAAGAAGATAGTGGAAGTGGACATGATGACAGAGAGGAGGATGATGGAAGTGGACAAGAGGACAGAGAAGAAGATAGTGGAAGTGGACATGACAACAGAGAGGAAGATGGCGGAAATGAACATGATGACAGAGAGGAGGATGATGGAAGTGGACATGAGGACAGAGAAGAAGATAGTGGAAGTGGACATGAGGACAGAGAAGAAGATAGTGGAAGTGGACATGATGACAGAGAGGAGGATGATGGAAGTGGACAAGAGGACAGAGAAGAAGAGTGGAAGTGGACATGACGACAGAGAGGAAGATGGTGGAAATGAACATGATGACAGAGAGGAGGATGATGGAAGTGGACAAGAGGACAGAGAAGAAGATAGTGGAAGTGGACATGATGACAGAGAGGAGGATGGTGGAAATGAACATGATGACAGAGAGGAGGATGATGGAAGTGGACATGAGGACAGAGAAGAAGATAGTGGAAGTGGACATGAGGACAGAGAAGAAGATAGTGGAAGTGGACATGGTGACAGAGAGGAGGATGATGGAAGTGGACAAGAGGACAGAGAAGAAGATAGTGGAAGTGGACATGACGACAGAGAGGAAGATGGTGGAAATGAACATGATGACAGAGAGGAGGAGGATGGAAGTGGACAAGAGGACAGAGAAGAAGATGATGGAAGTGGACATGAGGACAGAGAAGAAGATAGTGGAAGTGGACATGATGACAGAGAGGAGGATGATGGAAGTGGACAAGAGGACAGAGAAGAAGATAGTGGAAGTGGACATGACAACAGAGAGGAAGATGGCGGAAATGAACATGATGACAGAGAGGAGGATACACCCATAATGTATTTGCTGTGCATCCCCAATCACTGAAAACGTAAATGTGTAATGGTTAAGTCCAAGGACAAAATTTATGTCATTCCACTTCCAAACAATGTTGAAAGAGACTAAAATTCTTGGGGAGCTACTACTTTACAGACATCAAGGCCAAACAACCTCCACATATCACTCCTATACGCATGAAGTGCTGTCAGTGACTTTTAAATCTGTGCACTCACCAATTGGTCTTGTTTGCAGTAGCCCTGCTTTGATCCATTAAACAATACTAATGAAATGTTCTTTTTTGAACACTTGAGACAATTGTAATGTGTTAAGTTTATTTCTTTTGCATTTGGCCAGTATTAACTTTCTGTTGCAATGTGGGTTATGCTATTTGTTAGATCATAATGTAGCACTGCACCAGCTTTAAACCACTTGCTTTTCAGCAGAACACAAATTTTTGTGCACCTGTACTTTTGGAGTGAACATTTAGTGTTTTGTTCAATGTGGTTTTGTGTGTAAGATGTATTGTATCATATTTCTTTTTCAAAACTTATTAAACATTACATAACCACTGCAATAATTGCTATCTGTGTACTTTACACACAGCACAAAATTGCATAATAGGGTTTAAGTGCATTTTTGTAGTTATACTATTGAACACTTTCCAGAAGAATTAAGTACAAGCGTATATAACTTCACTTCATAATTAGATTCAAATGTAACTTAAAATGCACTTAAATTTAATATTACAGTGTTGATATTAAAATGTGTAGGCCTACTTTTAAAATATGCTTTCAATGTACGTTACAATGACAATTTTGAGCATACAATTTAAAATATAGCAAAAATATATGTAAAAACAAATTTCAAATAAGTACACTTTAGAAATTACACATAACTTTCACTTAAAGAATACTTTTTTAATAATATATTTCTATAAAGTGTAACATAGTGTAATTATGTTAAAGTGTGTTAAAAGTATTAGCATGAAAGCGTAATTTTAGTATACTTTTTATATATTTACAAAAAGTACAATTTGTCTAAGTACATTTTTAGTAAACTATAGGAAATATGAATATACTTGAAATACAATAAAGCACTTTTTTCTTTTACCAGGGGGGTTTGATTTAAAATAAAAGCATTACGTATGGAATACCCATTGCTATGTATGGTAGAAAATCTGTCATTCTGTGGGCCTGCTTCTTGTCACAAAGTGCCAGGAACCTTGTTCGGGGTGAATATGAGGTTTCTTTATATTATAATCTGGTTGACTATTCCAGAAAATTAGAAATAAGTCATAAGTTGATTTTTTAACAGGATAAGAGTCTAAAACAAAAGCCAAAAACCACACACTTTTATTGTTTGCCACTAGCTAAATATGCTCTCGTTAAAGCCTGGGATTTTTTAACACATACAAATTTCTAAATGAAATTTCTTTTTGTTTACACTTGTGTATAGAAAATGACAAAATAAAATCTAAGTTTTTCAGGAAATGTCACCTTAAGATCATGTGATGTTAATGAATGACATGTATTTTAAGTTTTTTTTTAAACTTTTGTTGTTGTTTTTATTTCAATAATAAGGCATCCCAGCTTCTTCCAGCAATCTCTTACAAAAAAATCTGCAGAAGTGGTTTTAAGCTTGTAGAAGTGACTAATGAGCTCAAGGCGAGGTGTCATAGGACTAACACTTAATGGCTAAATAGAATCCCCTTTTTATTCATATTTGTACACAAAGCATGGATGAATTGTTTAGCTTCAGTAGCTAAATACATAAATGCCATTTTGCACTATGATATCAGAGGTATATATGAGATGTGATTAAAAAGTTTACTATCAAGGAGGGTGGATTTAGAATGCTGGTGTCAGTATTCAACTATCAGAGGCTGAAGTCAGAATCTAACCTGTTGATCTCAATCATGCCTTCAAATATAACAACAGATGCCATAATCTCCGCTACATCAGCCCCCCGTGGGGAATATAAAGCTTTCATCATATACCTAAAGTGGTTAATCGTCATCTTCCCGCACGGCCAAGCAGAGCAGCAGGAAGCTCCTCTTTTAGCAGAAGTATTAAGGGGGAAGAGGAAAGCTCTGGTTTCTCCGTGCTGTTGCTGAGACAGATGGGGGGGTGAAAGAGGCCAGGACTGAACGTCAGCTCCGTCTTTCCAGCTGTTCTCAGGAAGACGTCTTCTTTCTAACGTCAAACATCACAGACAGGGAACACACACAGATGTTCTGATCTTTTCCGTTTGTCCCTGATCTACTCAGGGTTGGCAGCCAGGTATGATTGTAAAATCCTGAGCTGATTAGCTGAGCCATAAGTCTCAGCTGCAACCTTAACACTGAGCTCTCAGACAGCAGCCATGTGAGGGCATCATTATGCAAAACTCCTAAAACCAACCCTATATAAAAGATTTAAAATGATCACCTAAATAAATACAGATAATGAGGTATCATTTCTCACCTCCTGAGTTTAGTTCATTGATGTTTGGCAAGCATTAAATGCAAATCTGATCCTCTGCTCTCGTCGGCTTCTGTATGCAAACACATTCCTGTTAATTAATTTTCAATTACCAAGTGAAGCCAGGGCATTTGTTTTCAAGTACCGGGGATTTGGTGAATGTTCTTGAGGGATGAAACTCATTCAGACGATGGAGCGATCTGCTGATGGTTCTCCAAGGCTGCCAAAATAGACACAAGACACCGTGTCTCCTTTTAAATTGATTTACGACTTGAGGACAGGTCTTTTTCCACTAGGCCAGCAGCTGGAAGCCAAGCAAACCCCGTATTTTCTCATATTAAATTAAAAAAAATTAAAGAAAACTAAAAGATTTTAAAACGTTTTTTTTTCTTCTAATCTTTTGTTTCCACCTTTTGAGAGTTCAATAAAGCTCCTTAAGTCTTATGCGCGTTTAATAGCAGACATCCAGGATATTGCACTATATCACTGTGAAGAACATAATCCCATAGCATGATGCTGCCACATCCATGTTCCTAAATGTGGACGTTTGATTTAGGATAATGAGCAGAAGAATTAGTTAGACTGGGGTTTTAATTGACATTAGAGTAAAACAGGGCATAATAATAATGCATGTCAGATTTCTATTCTGTTTACCATATGCAATTCTAAATAAAACAAACTAAACATATTAAAACTTTAAAGGGCATGAATGCTTTTGCGAGGAATCACATTTTGAGATTTAAAAGAGATGAAGTCAGTGATAAAACACTGATAATAACGTGTTTGTCAGGGCTGGTGAACACAATGGCCACTTGTTGGCACTTGTTTAAAAGCTATCATTATGATAGCTGTGGATAAGCCAGACTCTGTGGGAATAAACATTACTCCAGATGAATTTCCCAGAAAAGCTGTGAATAGATGTTTCCTCTCTGGACACCAGCTTCTTAACTTTATCAAACATCCTTAGCAATAAAAGTTGTATATAAGAATGATGTTTTGGATAGTTTTTTTTCTTAAATGTAAGTAAAGCCTAATGAGTAAAAAAAAAAAGGGGGGACTGTGTAATGTTATTGTTAGATGCTGATAAAATAATGCCTGCGTCTCCTTGAAAACAAAAACACATACAGTGTGTAATCATGGGAAGATTGAGCTTTAAGGAGAATTAACAAAGCCAGACAGTGTGATGGATTGTGGGAAACTTGTCTGAGACACACCTCCACAGCGGCGATGGCACAAACATTTCTTTAAACCTGACAAATAACATTAAGATTTTAGAGTTTTCTTTAAAACCGTCTGATTTATAAAGTATAATTTATTCCCAACCAGAACTTACAGAACCTAATATGTCCAGATGTTGAAATTGGCTCTTTAGCAAAGGCCCCCATCCATACGATAATGACTCAGTTCACGATATATAATATTTTGGCCTGACAATATTGGACATATGGACGTATAAAACTAATTTGTTGCCCCATTTGGGTTGGACAATACATTCTGCATGTGAGTCATAATGTAGGCTAACAAACTTGGTCTGCATAAGGTCTGGAATATGGGGCAGACAGTTCACAGCAGTATTACAGCCTGCAGATGTGGACGGCTCCTATAACCAACAGAGAAACCTCAAGGGAGTCCAAGATGGAACCAAACTAAACTCATAGTTTTCATTTGAAGGTTAAAAACCTGAAACCATGTGGGTTTTATGTTTTGCCATTTTTTCCTTTTCTATTAATCTGCTCCAATTAACCCAAGTAATCTCCATAAAGAAAGTTTTAAACCGTACCTTCATTTGAAATGTGATTTTAAACAGAACTTGACAACAGAATGGGTGAGGACACCTTAAATATATCTTGTAAAATGTGTTTAGTGTAAATAAAGATCTTCTAGTGACACATGAAAACCTGGAATCAAGCTTTGTAACGTCATGATGTACCGACAAACACTTTGCTAAAATTAGGCTGGGTAATGAGTGACCTGACAAGCCTTGTTTTGCCCTCACTGCTGTAGAGGCAGGGAACAGAACCGGTGACATGAAGCTTACGTGAAATTAATAATAATAATAATGAATTTTATTTGTAACGCACTTTACATTTGACTTCAAATCTCAAAGTGCTACAAAGTGCTACATTTAAAAAAAGGGAAAATTAAAACAAGTTTAAAAGACCATAACATTAAAAACAGAGTAAAAAGACAATCATTAAAATCAATTCATCCTCTCAGTTGCTTTTCTGCCGATCAAACATTAACATCTGCTTTATCTTACTGTACTTCCTCATTGCTTGCAAAGCAGCCTAACCTGTTGTGACAGGCTTTAATGAACGGTATGAAAAGACGACTCAGGCTGGTTTCATCGCCTCAAAAACCATAAGAGGCAAATAATTTGGTAAAAGCTGCTGGGATGATAAACAACATTGCTCCACACAGATATGTTCATAATAATTGGATGTATAGTATAGCTATATACAAACTGAAATTATTCAAATGATTTTATACATTACACAAATACAAGATTTAAATATGTAGAGCTTTAAAACATCCAGAGTAGCTGCATTAGTTTAATCAAAGTTAACAAAATTGTTACATTTAAAAGTT